TATCAAAAGAAGATATTCCCCAGTTGGCATTGGGAGGGGTACTTCAATTCGGTGGAAATCACTAACGGTCTGCAAACCCTTTAGATTAATGCATCAGACACTGAAGATTATGAACAAACATTCAACACATACAACATAAGGACAGGTGTGATTCACTGTGGAAACATCCTTGATTAGATTCCAGACAATCTTGGCCACCGGCTGATTCCGTTTCCTCATGAATTCGCAGGCGTCAAAGGTGAAGTCCCAAAGAAATGGCTTATAGCCATTGGCCCTCTTCATCAATTTAAGTCGGAGAAAGATATTGTTTGCGGGGTGTAGGAAGGTGGCATTCACATTCAAACTGGTCTTGTTCCGGGAGTAGGCCTTCAGGCGACAATAGTGGACCTCCACCCACGATTTGTTGTACGACGGACACTTGGCATTTGTCATTTTAACGAAGGGTGCCTCCTGAAACACGTTGCTTATTAGTTTGAAGATTATTTCCGATTAGATACGAGTTTAGAACCTTACACTGCCAATAAGGAAGATGGCAAACAAAACCATTCCAAAAGAGATTATTTTATAGTTCATTGCTTCCGGTCCGAGCTGCTGCTTACGACTACCGATAGAAAAACTTCGATGTTGATGGTTGGATACAGATTAATATGCGGAAAATTATATGAGGAAATCGAGCGAAACTATTTGTTATATGGTAATCGATCTGCTACCTAACTAACCTGGCCAATTAAACTTTGTTCAATGAACAAAATATTGCCCATAAATCCTCTTCAAATTTGAAGTGAACATTAATAGCAAACTCCGGTTTTCTATAGATATGAAAAGTATACTCTCCAGTTGGTCAGATGTGAGGTAAGAAACTCTGAAGTGAGCCCTCAGCATATACCATTTGTACCTCTGTATATGGTTCAGGCAAAGAAAATATAAATAGTAAGATGAGTACAACATTTTTGAGATCAATTAGTTCCGCCTGTTTCTAAAACTGGCTCCAGGCTGTCCCACAATACAATAAATATTATATATCTTAACCCTTTTATATCCATCAATATATAATAATAGAATATAATAAGTAAATATATATGTACTGTTTGTATTGTCTCTTGTTCAGGTTGGACACGTCCTTGATTGGGCTGAACTCTTCTCAAAAAATAAACGCTGATCCATCGATGGTAAGTTTACTGAGAAAGGTTCGGCCATTTCATTAGCTTCAGTCGAATCGTATATTGAGTTGTTCAATGTCTCCGAGACGGTAGCATGTAGTTATATTTCCTTCAAAAGTATCTTACACTGTCCGCTGGAAAAGTGGCAAACAATAACAGTCAAAAAACAAATCAGCAGTATCATTTTTAATCCATAAGTCACTGGGACAATTAGATCAGTGAAAACAATTGGTTCACGCCTTGTGCCCTAATCCTCCACAAATGTGAAATAGACATCTGTTGAAAACTGCGGTTTGCCATCGAATATCCAAGTCATCAAAAGAAGATATTCCCCAGTTGGCATTGGGAGGGGTATTTCAACGCGGTGGAAATCGCTAACAGTCTGCAAACACTTTAGATTAATGCATCAGAGACTGAAGTTTAAGAACAAACACTCAACACATACAACATAAGGACAGGTGTGATTCACTGTGGAAACATCCTTAATTATATTCCAGACAATCTTGGCCACCGGCTGATTCCGTTTCCTCATGAATTCGCAGGCGTCAAGGGTGAAGTCCCAAAGAAATGGCTTATAGCCATTGGCCCTCTTCATCAATTTAAGTCGGAGAAAGATATTGTTTGCGGGGTGTAGGAAGGTGGCATTCACATTCAAACTGGTCTTGTTCCGGGAGTAGGCCTTCAGGCGACAATAGTGGACCTCCACCCACGATTTGTTGTACGACGGACACTTGGCATTTGTCATTTTGACGAAGGGTGCCTCCTGAAACACGTTGCTTATTAGTTTGAAGATTATTTCCGATTAGATACGAGTATAGAACATTACACTGCCAATGAGGAAGATTGCAAACAAAACCATTCCAAAAGAGATTATTTTATAGTTCATTGCTTCCGGTCCGAGCTGCTGCTTACGACTACCGATAGAAAAACTTCGATGTTGATGGTTGGATACAGATTAATATGCGGAAAATTATATGAGGAAATCGAGCGAAACTATTTGTTATATGGTAATCGATCTGCTACCTAACTAACCTGGCCAATTAAACATTGTTGAATGAACAAAATATTGCCCATAAATCCTCTTCAAATTTGAAGTGAACATTAATAGCAAACTCCGGTTTTCTATAGATATGAAAGGTATACTCTCCAGTTGGTCTGATGTGAGGTAAGAATCTCTGAAGTGCCTATGTATATGGTTCAGGCAAAGACAATATAAATAGTAAGATGAGTACAACATTTTTGAGCTCGATTTTTTGCCGCCTGTTTCTAAAACTGGCTCCAGACTGTCTAGAAAATTTCAGAGAGAGACAGCGCTCTAGAGCCAGCACGATTCTCATACATTTAAGGTATGCCTGCTTGAATTGGTTTCTTATGACGGCGCTGTCGAAGCATAAGACACTTACTTTAGAATTCATTTGGGACTATGGAACTATTTAAAGACGCTTTCCCACAATTCAATAAATTATATCCTCCTATATCCATTAATATACAATAATAAAATACACTGCCGATCAATAGAATAGACTCAATGCATTTTTATACCCGATACTCAAAATGAGTATTGGGGTATATTAGATTTGTGGTAAAAGTGGATGTGTGTAACGTCCAGACGGAATGGTTTCCGATCTCATAAAGTATATATATTCTTGATCAGCATCAATAGCCGAGTCGATGGAGCCCTGTCTTTCTGTCCGTACGTCCGTCTGTCCGTCCCTATTAGCGCCTAGTGCTCAAAGACTATAAGAGCTAGAGCAACGATGTTTTGGATCCAGACTTCTGTGATATGTCACTGCTACAAGAATATTTCAAAACTTCGCCCCGCCCACTTCCGGCTGCACAAAAAGCGAAAATCTGTGGCATCCACAATTTCGACGATACGAGAAAACTGAAAACGTAGAATTGTAGAGGATGACAATATCTTCTAGAGTGTAAAATCTGAACCAGATCGTATAATTATTATAGCCAGAGTCAAGAAAACAATTTCATTCTGTCTCTCTCTAACACACAGGTTTCATGGTCGGTTTTGCCTATTGCAAAATATGAGTTAAAGGATCTCAGAACCTATAAAAGCCAGAGCAACCAAATTTGGTATCCATACTCCTCTGATATCAGACCTTGACCGTTTTGTGTCAAAATTTCGCCCCACCCCCCTCCGCCCCCGCAAAGGACGAAGATCTGGGGCATCCACAAATCTCAAAGACTATTAACGCTAGAGTAACCAAATTTGGTATCCGCACTCCTGTTAGATCTCACTATAAAACGTATATCTCAAAATTTCGCCCACCCCCACTAAGGACGAAAATCTGTTGCATCCACATTATTGCATATTCGAGAAAACTAAAAATGCAGAATCATAGATAACGACCATATCTATCCGATTGCTCAATCTGGATCAGAACGGATTGTTTTTATTGCCGAAAGGAACAAATCAATTTGCAGTGGCTACGCAGCGTCCGACGTCACGCTCAGACTGATTTTCTGTCTCTCTCGCACGCACTCTTTGTCGTGTCGCTAATATTATCGGCGTTTCCAAGTAAACATCAAATTATTTTGGGAAATCACGCCTTGTGCCCTAATAATCCTCCACAAATGTGAAATAGACATCTGTTGAAAACTGCGGCTTACCATCGAATATCCAAGTTATCAAAAGAAGATATTCCCCAGTTGGCATTGGGAGGGGTATTTCAACACGGTGGAAATCGCTAACAGCCTGCAAGCCCTATAGATTAATGCATCAAAGACTGAAGATTAAGAACAAACACTCAACACATACAACATAAGGACAGGTGTGATTCACTGTGGAAACATCCTTAATTAGATTCCAGACAATCTTGGCCACCGGCTGATTCCTTTTCCTCATGAATTCGCAGGCGTCAAAGGTGAAGTCCCAAAGAAATGGCTTATAGCCATTGGCCCTCTTCATCAATTTAAGTCGGAGAAAGATATTGTTTGCGGGCTGTAGGAAGGTGGCATTTATATTCAAGCTGGTCTTGTTCCGGGAGTAGGCCTTCAGGCGACAATAGTGGACCTCCACCCACGATTTGTTGTACGACGGACACTTGGCATTTGTCATTTTAACGAAGGGTGCCTCCTGAAACACGTTGCTTATTAGTTTGAAGATTATTTTCGATGAGTTATAAAATCTTACACTACAAACCAGGAAGGCAGAAAACAGTAAAAACCCACTCCCGAGCAACTTAGAGTTCATTCTGTTCGGCAGCAGATAGAAATGTGGTCTGTTTTGAATTAATCGGGATTGTTTTTACCAATGGTGCCATAGAAATGTAAAATAGATTAAAAAATGAACATTACCTATAGATTTATAAAGTAAAAGTTATTACCATAAAACTCTAACGAGCGGTAGCCTTTTGAGCCGTGGCAAGGGCCGTGGCTCTACTTTTATACCCGGTACTCAGTCAGTCAGTGTATATGTGAGCTTTTGATTATACAATGAGATTGACAAAATGTAGAGAGAAAGAGAGGTTAACCACGACCGCTTGTTATGTTCTAATGTTAATTCTTGCACAATAAACGACCAGTTCTAATCTAAATTCAATAGGCTGGTCGTATCCTAAAAATTGTGGATTCCATACATTTTCACCCTTAAATAATATCCCTACACACTCTATAATGATATAATGGGTATAATGATTGAAACTACCATCAACGGGGAGCCCCTTTTGCAAGTTCGACTGATGGAAAGCAACTCTAAGCCATTGGCCATTGGCCATTGACCATTCCACAGCATATCATTCGTTTGATTTAATGTCATTTCAAAATAAACCCCTTTGTTAGAAGTCAATTTCCATTCGCTTCTGTGAAATAAAATTACACACTGAACTGACATCTTATATATCTCGAAATTGATCCGCTAATCGCCCGTGTTCCGCACAGAGAACATGCACAGGTCACGGTTCCAGGTACATCCCGTCGTGGTGTCGGCCAAGCGCTATGAGGCTATCCAGTCGCGGGCCCAGCAGAAGCAGAAGCACGCCCAGCTGGCGGATGTCGAGGAGGAACGGCGGTACCGACAGTACCTCAAGGAGGGCAACGATCTGCTGTGCAGCTACTTTAAGGGAATGGTCACCCACAAGGCGGAGGAGAAGTCCAACGTGGCTGTGACGCCAGTCGTCGCGGCCGAGCCGCAGGAGAGCAAGCAAATCGAAGAACGTTTGCGCAAGGAGCGGATCCTGCGGGCCAACAATATTCTCGACCAATTGAAGCCGGGACATCGGGCTCTGCATCAGGCACTGCTCGAGAGCGAGATGCTCCATCAGCGGGGCTTCAATGAGGCGCTTAACAGGGAAATCGCCGAGGACGCCCGTCGCCAGCAGGAGCAGGATGAGATCATGTGTCCGGAGGTGCTCATACCCTTTACTAACATCACCGAGGAGGAGCTTGCGGCCAAGGAGGAGGAGAAGCGACAAGCCGTTCGTCTCGCCATCATGCAGGACGTGGAAGCGAAGCGAAAACTCATGGCGGCCGAAAAGGAGCAGCGTCTCTTTGACGAGGTGGTGGAGCGGGCCCAGTACAAGTGCCTGCAGGACAAGGAGGAGAAGGCCTTCAAGGAGAGGAAGGCACGCAGCATTGAGTTCAATCGCAAGGCCTACCGCGATTCCCTGAGGGAGAAGGCTGAGATAGAAGAGCGTGAGTCCCACACCGAACTCTTGGAGAAGAGTGGAAGTTAAACCTAAATCCCCCCACCCCCCCAGATGAGCGCATTTGCGACGTAATCGATGACCGACGGAACTGCGTCTACCAGGTAGCCACTCGGCAACTGGATGGCCGCTACAACGCCCACATAAAAGAGACCCGTGCGAAAAAGCAGCGCGAACGCGAGGAGCGTGCGGTGCGCGTCTGCCGACTGCAGCAGGCCGGCAAGAAGAAGCTGGAGGAGCGCCAGGCCACCCTGGAGGATCGCTACGAATTCGAGACGCAGGTGGACGAGGCGCGTCGCCAGTGCGAGCTGGAGGAGCTGGCCAAGCAGCGCAAGGCCTACCAGCTGGTGGAGAAGCAGGAGGCTGAAGAGAAGCTCAAGCGAGAGCGGGAGCTGCAACGTTTCGAGGTGGCCCGCCGGCTGAAGAACGCTGAGGCCAACCGCCACTTTGAGATATCCGAGAAACGGAACCGCGACAAAGTGACGGCCGAGGTGCGCGACACCCTCCACCGCCAGAGGGAGGAGTTCTTGGAGCAGCGCCAGCAGGAGCTGATGCGCATTTCTGCCTGCGACGACGATCCCTACCTCCTGGAGGACAAGAAGTTTTACGCGCAGGCCGTCGAGGTCATGGAGCAGTCCCGCAAGCTTGGCCGCCCCCTCTACCCCATTGCCACCGCAGTCGAGCGCTATGCGCGGTCAAACAATTTAGATGTGCAACCGGACAGAGGTATCGTGAAGCGCAGCAAGCTGCGGGACTACTGCTGGCCGGGGTATCACGCCCAGGCGGATCTCGCCTATCGCAAGTACGACCAGGCGGAGATGTGCCGCGAGAACCAGCGGGATGCTCGCAACCAGATCTACTGCAACGCCGTCAAGATCAAGAAGATGGCCTCTGTGGAGAAGCCCTACAAGCCGTGTGTGCCCTCCTGTCCCATCAACTGTTTCCATCGTCGCGGCATGCCCGCCGTGGATAGCACGGATTCCTTTGACTACGGCCCCCATGTCTGCTACGAGGAGTCGCCACCGCTGGGCGCCTGTCCCAGTCGCATGCAGGGCATTCGTCGCTACTCGAAGGACCCCAGCCTGCCGAACCTTGTCGCACCTCCACCCATGCCAGAACTCCGGCTGGATGCCACAGCTGTTCCTTCTGTGGCCAAGATGACCAACGCTCCTCCCAGTGCACCCACAGTCGAGTCGGCTGTTGTTGCAAAGCCATCGCGTCCAGAGCCCCCTGGAGGCGCTGCTCCGGCTGCTCCCCCCAAAGTCCCAGGAGCAGGAAACCGGAGGGAATCTTTGCCGCAATCTCGTCCACCAGTGTCTGTAAAAACTCGTCGTGGATCCGCTCAAGGTCCGAGCCACCGTGGATCCATTCTGGGTACAGAAGCACGTGGAGCCACTCTTGGAATGCCAAAGACCGGGGCTCAGGCTCTCACTGGACAAAATCGTCCAGCAGCTATCCCAAATCCCACGGGAACCTGGGGCGCGGGACCGTTGCCCCAGCCACCACCCCCACCCAACCAGAAAGGATCTGGTAACAAAAAGTCTCGTTAGAGCCAACCCACACAAATATCAATCAATCGAGTCCCGAATCCCATTTGACACTTCCAAAATTCACGTTTCTAGTGTATTCTTGTTTTGTATTTTGATGTTTTTCCATCTGCGAGGCCAGTAAAAGAGTGAATAAAAGGGTGCAACCGACCCCTCAGCCCATCCGGATCGCCGCCGCCATCACCGCACACACACAGACACAGACAAGACCGGCAGACAGGAAAGGATAGGACAGTAAGGGGCAAAGGAAATGACATTAATGGTTTTTTAAAAGCACTTAAACTTGGCGCAAGAGTTCGGAACGCTTTCTCCACTTGTTCGACTGAGTGGGAGTGGAGGCCGCTCCGCTGTGATTGAAGGCGTGAAGAAACCGTACCCTCCAATGGCCCTTGGCGGACATTACGCGCTTTGTTTAGCAGTGAAGAAGCCAGTGGGGCAGTGGCCCTTAGAGTGGCTTGGCCGTGCAAAATGCTCCATAAATTCCAATTAATGCGTGGCCAAAGTTATTAGGTTTCGTCTCCGTCGCCATCTCCGTCCGCTTCCATCTTCATCAATTTGTGACTGCCGCTGAGAGTGACATCCCCTTTTTGTTTCATTTAGCTTATTAGCAGGCAGACATGTCCGGTGTTCCGCGGAGCCGGCCATAACTTAATTTGAAGTCTGCTAACCAGGCTTTCGGCTCACTCTGTGAGAGACTCGGTACTCAGGCCGGGTCACCACCGGGTCACCTTCTACGCTAATTTCCGGGCAATCTCATCAGGATAATTACGGCGGTGCTCCTTTCTTCTGTGTCGGTTACAGGCACCAAGCGGCGCAAAGCAGCGACCAACTCCCGGCGGCTTAATCAGCCAGCGTTTAGGAGCTTTGTAGTCTTTGGGGCTCAGTCGAGCGCTCAACTCGAAATTAACACAACTGGGATTTTTTTCGCATCCGCTCTGAAGTTGTGAAAAGTTTGCCGGCTGGCAAAGTTAACCAAATTAGTATATTAAAGGTTCATTATGGGAGTGCTTGGGCAGGGGTCAGCAACCATTGAGATGTTGTCAAATATCCCTTCAGTTCAGAAATTGTGGAAAGCATCCAATGCTGACACATATTTGAGGCTTGAATATACGATTATTCGTGTATCCAGCGGCCACGGTTTGTGAATTTTTAAATAGGCATGCACCAGCACTAGACACAGGATTTCAACGATTTGCAGCTGGGGACGGACCCGGGGGCAACTGAAGAGTTGATAAGAATGCAGCTCGGCTTGGAAATCGGCGCTCGTCTGAGGCTGTGGCCTTTGGCCTGGGCGACTTTTGTGTCCGGCCACCACCATAGCCCGAAGACCCTGGGATCTAATCCAGAAAGCTCGTTTGCGACATGGTGTATATAGTGCAGGTATGACAGTGTTAGCAACGACGCAAAAACATCAATGTTTTTAAGATAATTAAAACCATATCCTCTGACAGAATAGAGGCTTGACTCCACTGCACAAGGAACTGCATCAGGTTGTTTGTACTATCGTTGTACCCCTAAAACAATGGAGATTGCAGAGGTATAGTACATATTGTCCAATTTCGTTTATTGTTTGCCCAACGACGAGGGTTGTGCCCTCCCGCAAACAATAATATTTCCGCTGAAAGTTCTCCGAATGGCACAGAAAAACAACATCCTGGAAAAAAATATACACAGGTGCAATTGTGGAGTTGTTGAGTTGGCAGCGATGCAATCGAATGTTTCGAAATTCTAGGGAAATGCATTTTGGACCGGACCGCATTTTCGCTGTACAAATAAACTATTTTTAATCGAATGAACGTACACGGTGGTCAAAAATCTAGGTACCGAATGAAATTGAGTTAGTATAAATAAAAGAATATGCTCCGACTCTCGGGATGTTCAATTACTTAGGCTTTTGCTGGCAGGACAATGCATCATCTAGCCGGAGTGAATTCGCATTGTTTTCCAATCGTGTCTTTTGATTAGCAAAAAGCTTACAGAAGCGGTATGGCACAAAGGGAGCAGCATCCACAGGTGGCAGCAAGAAGAGAAAACAACAGACAAGGAAAAGTGGAAAACACATTGTGAATTGAGCAATGAAAAGCACGCTGTCAATTGTAATGTAAAGCGAAATGGTCTCTTTCTTTGAAAAATCTCCATCGCTTGCTCATTACACGCTCCGCCAGTTGCTAGACTCAATAAAAGTACCAGTATGAAAAATTACTTAATGAAATTAAGTGTGAAAAGTGTGAGTGCCTCCACAGAGAAAGAGAGAGAACCCCGCGTGGCCCCCCCGTCTCGACACTCGACGAAGGAAACCGCTTCGAGTGGGGCAGCTGAAAGCGGCAGAGCGGCAGAGCGGCAGTAAATAATAATAAGAGAATGACTTACTGGAGCTCTGCCGGCAAGCATCGGGCATCCTTGCCCCGCCGGGTAATGTCCATTATGGGCTTAGCAGGTCGGCGCTCGCAAGTGGATTTTGATTGCGCAATCTAACAGCTTCTAGGGGCAGCATACTCGCAGTCTTGCAACAAGTTGAAAGGCAGCTCTATATACAGCATGAAGCGCTAAAGTTTCGATTAAGTTAGGAGTACCTCTACAATACCTCTACAATAGTAAGAACGAAGGAGCTATTGAGATCAGTCAAGTGCGTGATATCGCCAGCGAACTCTTTTGCAGTGTGTCTTCATAGTGTGAGTGTGTGAGTGTGGTGCTGGCGCTGGCGATATCCATGCACTGAGACTAGTTTAATGCTAAGTACATTCAGATGATAAATGGTGGGTAGTCATGACCGGAAGAAGCACTAGGCGTTGGAGTTGGCGCACTTATTGGCAGCTGGATCTGGAACTGGCTCCAAAGCGCTCTTGTGCAGCTGAAACCCATAGAGACTGCAATGGAGAGAGAGTAGAGCGTGAGAGAGGGTGAGGGTGAGGGTGAGAGGCAGAGATCGGGACAAATCACTCACCGGGGTACATATTTTTCTTGGGATAGCGTTGGGCGATGCGTGGGCAACTCCATAAGAAACATGTGGGGAAAGTTGGGCCCAAACATGCAGCCATCTAACACGGCGCTGTTCCGCGTTGGCGTGTAGATATCCCGGCAGCATGGACAAAAGACCTTCACCGTGGACTCGTACGACTTTTCGCTGAGCCCAATGGGTAGGACGTGCTGGCCCTCGCAGTAGACTCGGGGACAGAAACCGAAGTCGCCATACTCGTACTTCCGTCGCATGGCATCGATGCCTGGGGGCGTCATAATGTAGCGGGCATGGATCAGGCCGTACAGTCTCTCCGATTCAATGTGGGCACCATCGCCCACCCAATTGTTGACGCAAAACTCCGGATCCATTATGGTATCCAAAGATTTAGAAAAGTTGACGACCTCCGACTCCAGATCGTACAGATTGAACTTATCCCTCATAAATTCCAGGGGCACGCGGCACAGGAACTCGTTGCCAATCTGGCTTAAAAACCATCCGACCCAGCTGTCGTCGCCCATCGGCGGAGTTGCGATGCTTACGGTGGTGCTTCCTCTGTGAATAGCGTAAAAACGTGCAAAACGTATTTTATAATAACGGAATTCAAAGATCTTACGACGTGCAAGACATTTTAGTTTCTTGAAAATATGTTCGCAGTAAGTGCAAAAATTTAGGCAAGTTTCGTTTGATAGAACACAGCTGATTGAAAATGAAACAGGGATGGGATGAAACGAAGGAAATGAAACGATGCTTCGATATACGATACGTGCTATAGGAGTGCGTGTGTCTGAATTAATTGGAGGATCTCGGGGAGCAGAAGCCTGATGCACCTTCTTATCATTCGTGAGGTTACCCATGCAGGCAAATAGGGAGACATTACAGCAACTGGCAGTCATGGCAACTACTGTTTCGTGGAGCCTATCCACTGACCGATGCGACAACCCTATGCACTCGTGTGTCAATCTTTAAATAAAAGAACGAGCTGCCGCCGCTTCTTCGCTTTAACGAACTATACTGATTCATACCCAAAGATTACACCTTCGGCAATGCCCACTCGAGTATACGCAGTTGATTGAAGCACTCGAAACCAGAAATTGGTTAGCATCAGAAAGTTTTGAAGCCCACGACTGCCTGGGGAACAAAAGGTGTGTGGCACCGTGTGCGATGAAATGGATTGGCGCTGCCCCACACGCATGTGTGTTTTTGCGAATCTTTCCCATCTCCATTCTCCGTAGTTGCTGCAAATTCAATTCCCATTTTCGCTTAAAAGTTTTTAACTTGGTTACTCCGTTGGCTCGTTGCCCATCCCCATCCGATTCCATCCAACAGACAGGCAGCGAGAAAAAACCAAGATGGAGAGTGCAGAAAAAATGCCCTTGAGACAAATTAAGTGATTCGCCCGCTTACACATTTTTCCTGCTGATTACTTTTCGCCCCCATCCTACCAGCCTGCTCTCATCTTGAGGAGTTGAAATTGAATTGCCAGAAAGTGAAGAATAGGGTGAGGAATTGCTATAGATATATAGAGCCTTTGGCATTACACTACAGTACTTAGACAAACAATGTACAGATTTATAATTTGTTAGGCACCAGCCTGGTCTTGACCTCCGCCTCGATCTCACCACGGATAGCCCTCATATGATCGTCCAGAGCCTGGCACTCAACCATGCGGAGTGGCTGGTTGAACCGCAGCACTGCCACATCCAGTTGGGGTTCGCTCATCTCGGTGCCACTCATCAGGGTGCGCACCACATGCTTGACGGCCGTCTGCTCGTCCATGGAGTCGACCGTATCGCCCGCATGCTTCTCCATGTATTCGCGCGCCGTGGTGCCCGCCCGCCCCGTGCTGCTGCCCGTCCACTCGTAGTAGATGCCCGATGGTTCGGTTTGGTACAGATGCGGCTTGCCATCCCCGTCGAAGCCACCCATCAGGCAGGAGAGCCCGAAGGGACGTCGTCCATTACTTTGCGTGTAATTCTGCTTCATCTGCGCTATGAAGCTGAAAGGAAAAGGCCGCCACCGCGGCTCCAATAAGTTTTTGGCAAAGGGTAAGCGAGGAAACTGCTTTCACCGTGTTATGTACTCCACAGTCACGGGCCTCTCGAAATTCAAACGATAGCTCTGGGCCTCCGCTTGGGCGCGGCTGATCAGTACTCGGGCATCTGCAGTGAGGCCGGCAAAGGTCATCACCACATGATTGTCGAGCATGGAAATCTTGCGCATGGACCGCTCATCAAACAAGGGATTGCTGGACCTCTTCTCCACGCCCACCACAATGCAATCGTTGGTGCGAAGTCCCACCTGAAGATAGCCAAGAGATCAGAGACAATCCACAATCACGAAGCTGCCGCACTCACCGCCGTGGATCCTCGGCGCACTGCCTCCTGGGCGTACTCCACTTGCAGCAGATGGCCATCGGGCGAGTATATGGTCACGGCACGATCGTAGCGGTCGGACATTGGAAATATTGTAGTAGTGTAGTGATAAATAAACTAAATAATAAATGCCTTGCAGTACGGAATTCTATAAATTTTAAGGCTACAAACAGATTGACTTTCAGCCGCAGCCAACTTTACGTATGTGTCGACAGCAATATATCGGAACAGTGGGATCATGAAATCACACGATTTGTTGCGATAATTGAGAGAAATAAAAAGCTACAATAATCAATGTGAATTCATAATTCAATTTATTGTGCACTGATGCGGGAGTACTTGTGGCATGCCATCGCTGAATCATTATTGTATTATCTATTCAAATTCGCAATTTAATATCATTGCCACGTTAATCGGATTAATGATGTCACAAATTATTGAGACAATTACCATAAATTGGGTTAACATTCACCGCACAAGCCACATTGTCCATCCTGTCCCTGTTGCCACTTGAAATCTGTTTAGCCATTAACCAAAATGCCCAACCCAGCCATCTGCTGCCCCTCAAAACTGCCAAAACATTCAAGCAAGTTTCTGGGGCAGAATAAGTTGACAACAAAGTCTCGGCTGGGAAAATGCAACAAAAGAGCAAATCTGTGGCAAATGTAATCGTAATCGAGAAACAGCTTCATTTTCCTAATGTGCTTAGCCAGAGCCCAGAACGAACCTGCCCCCGAGACCGGAGTTCGTGGACCACGCCACGATGCGGTGCTTAGTATGCCACAAGCGCGCACTCTGCCATAAATTTATATTTAGCATTTTATGACAACCGTGTGGCAGACCTGGGGAGTAGGACACCAGGACGAGAAAGAGAGACAGAACCAGGGACACAAACGGGGGACGCGGGTCGAGGGGCGTCATCCAGGAAGTGTGCCGCATACTTACCAGGATTAAACACGTGCCACCCAATGGCTGTTCTGTTGCCCGGGTCCCACGGCAAGCGTTTGCAAAATGCGACTGGCAAATAAATAAATTAAACACGACTGCAAACAAAACGACCAGCAAATAGAATCACGCCGAATGCAATTATTCCAACTGATTCGACAGTTTTTCCATTTACATTTACGTTTACGGGCCAGGCGACTGGGCGACTGGGCGACTAGGCGCCCTCCCATTGTCACCTGTCGTCCTCGAAATATGTTTTGTTTGCGGCAATCGCGATGAAATTCTATTATGCGTCATGCATAAAATGTTATTGGCATTGCTGCAGGCAGTCAGTCGCTAAATGAATAAATATAGGAATTTATGAAAGTGACCAATAACAAGGCATTAGGCAACAGGCAACAGGAAACAGGAAACAGAAACTGGTATTGGTAATTGCCCCCGTCCCTCTACTAAATTTGTGGAATATTTTCATACCATTCGAATATGTTTTTAATACATAGTTTCTGAACGGTAGGTACAACATTCCACACAAAAGTTCGACTGAGACTCAAGTCTCGCACACTTGGAAATTAAATAAATATTTGCATCGATCTCAGGCATGGCTTCATTAGCACGCTCTTATCCGAAGGAGTGGAGTAAAGTGGAGAGCAGACAGACAGACCCTTCGGCCCTAGGCAATGTGCACCAAAATTAAGTATACGCCGTGTTTTCAATGCGTGCCCTTGCCGTTTGCCGTTTGATTAAGCACTTCTACCCCCAATAATCTCCCTTAGCCAGAGAGAGCATCGAAGGATGCCGAAGAAGAAATGTTCCGCACTAAACACGAAATCGCCCTTGAGGCAGTTGCGGAAGGAGCAGGAGCAGGAGCTGGAGCAGGGGAGCAGACACAAGAAGACATAAAGCGGCAGCCACCAAAAACAAGGCAACAACACGAACCAAGAACAGCAACAACTTTTGTTTTGGGGGCCCAAAGCCAGGGGAACCTTCCACGATTTGTTTGCTTCGAGCTTAATTTGTAGCGTCAAATGGTGTTGATTGTAGTTTTGCCGGATCCCTACTCCCGGCACTCCCTTCTCCAAGCAGCAGAAGGGCCCCTGCCCAGTCGCCATCGCAACTAAAGACCCAATAAAAGTGGAGGGCGCTTCAATGGATAAACATGGTTTGGTGGAATATTCTTTCAAGTAGGCACTCTTTCCTACTCGAAAGACCCTGCTCCAAAGCTGTCAGTGTACACACACACACACACACACACACGCATGCACACATACATAAATATTTGGAAATTAATGATGAACAATTTGAACACGAAGTGCTCGAAGGGATTGGAGTCGGGGAAATGGGTTAACATGCTATGCTGTTCACAACTATCTCGCTACCAGGCTCAACATATTTCAGCCATTTACAAATTAATAAAGAGCTCTTTAATTCTCAACGCTCAAAGATTAAACTAGGAACAACTAGTATGTGACAAATCCATACTGCAAGTCGTACATGCTTCCATTGTTTTCGTATCAATCCAACCGTTTTTCAATCTCTGCCTTTGAATCTGCAGGATATACATACGAGTTTGTCCGTCTGCTGGCCATCGCCTGTGGTTTCATATCTCCAGATAAGGCGGACGATTGCAAAATGCAAATGACCTTTGACCATACAATGCAGCCACCTCGCATACCAGCCATGCACCGTGCACTGTACGTCCTCTTTCGAGTTTTTTTTTCGTCGTGTGTCTCGGCTAAGTAAACACATGGACAAATGCTGGCAAAGAGGAGGAGGATGTACTCTTCACGCTTCACCTGAAGTACCAAATGGTGCCCAGACTCAGGACTCACCCAGAGGTCTTTTTAATAAACCGAGCAATGCACACGGCATTGTTGACTCAGTCGCCCCCCTCCCCGTTCTGTATTCCCATTTACATGCAGATGTTGCAGGAGCGCGGCCCCAAAGTGCCCTTTAGTGTCAACGAACTTTGCCTGTCGCCCATTACCAACGACGACAGTCGTTGCTAGTTATTAAGTCGTTTATGCTTACGGAGGAGGGGGAGGAGGATGCTGTTGCCGCGTGGTTGTGGCTGTGCAACTGGACCGGCACCCGGCAAGCCGCTTATTATGTGAAACTGTCAGAGCCGTTCATTGCGGACGAGGCAGCAGCAGGTCCATCCGGTGTACGATTCATTAAGGAAACTTTGATTGGTGAATCTATCAAAGCCTCGTGCCGCATGCCCTGAACTGATATTACTGTTATACTACCAAATTTGCATTTAATTAGGATAATGCTGTTGGGTACTGTCTTCGGGAAATAATGCAGTGACTGTTTCTGTGATGCACACGCAGCTGGCAGTAAAGTGCAACTGCAACTCCATCAGTCAGCAGTCCAGTGCCACGGCAACGCCCACGCTTATGGCCCCCACTTGAAGCCAAATGGCGACAAATGCTGTGCAAATTAATGGCGAGAAAGGAAGCAACTCCGCGAAGGAGCTCGAAAGTATTGATGGATAGAAAAGTGCAGTTGCTCGGGAATGAAGATGGAAACGAATCGAATCCAGTCCAGTCGCATCCAAGTGGACGGATGGGATAGACAGAACGGAGGGAGTAACCCACTAATGGTCAGCAACACTTTGGAGGGAGTGCTGGTGATGCTGGAGATGCTGGAGGTGCTGGAGGTCTGAGTGCCGCAGCTGTCGCTTATTTCCGGAACTTTCAATCCATTAAAGTAGCAAATTGTTCGAATTCTGCAAAGTTGCCAACTCGTTAAAGAGACCCATTCCAGAGACCAGGGGAGCTAGACGCAATCAAGACACAAGCTCTTCGCTAATTTATGCAGTTTACCAAAGGGCGGCACGATGACAGGATAACGCTGTGGTGTGTGTGTGTGTGTGTGTGTGTGTGTGTGTGTGTGCACTGGCATAGGAAAACATGGAAAACAACCAAAATTACATCTAACGAAGCCACTAAATAAGCAGAATGGATACTGGAGCAAACAACCACTGTAAAATCAATGCCGAGACACAAGAGAGGTACTCTCTCTACAACTCTTTAAAATGGAGTTGAGTATTTTGGTGCAACGTCCATGCGATGCAACCCGACCTGCCCACCCTGCATATAAACTTTTCCCAGTGTGGCGCGACATATCTTTGATATTTTTATGGCCATCGTGCGGCCACCAGGTTGCTGTATGGCCGGGAAAAGGCGACACCAGGGACGAGAGAAAGAGTACAAAAAAATCTGAGGAAAAGTGGGTCTGTAGAGCACCCTTATCTCCATATAATCCACTTTATATTTTCTCACTTGCACACAAATTGAAAAAAAAAATCATAAATTCAGGTTAAAAAAAGTGGAGATGGGATTACCATTCGTTAAAAAGCGGATTCGATATTTCTATACAAATGTGGGGAGAGTGGTCGAAGTGGAGCGAGCGGCTTACAAGTTCCGAAAAATGGCATACTATTTGAATATTTCTGTAACATTCAGTGTAGGTAAATAACATATACTCGTATGCCAATTCCTTTGCTTTTTTTGTCCTTCTCTATCAAATTATTGCTACTCTTATTCATTAGGTTTCTACAGGGAACGCAGAAAATATTTAGGGCTCTAAATACAAAAGTGACTTCCAAATTCAAAAATGGACTCGCAAAAGGCAAAGACCATAACCGCCATACCACTGGAGCACCAGAGAAGACCCCATAGCACACCTGTCCTACAGGCAAGGCCCTCCATTTGGGGCAGAAATAGTGGCGGATCCAACCAAACCCCAAAGTCGAAAGCAATTGTCGCCGTGCCTGCGCTTAGGATGCGTTCAAAGAGTGATTTAGCTACGCCGCACAGCCCGAATCCGTATGCAGTGAGTAGCCGCATCTACCGGCCTTCCAGATCCCTCATCTTCGACTACAATCTGTCGCCGGTGGAGCAGCAACACTTCAGCAAGTGCAGCGATCCGATGAAGTCTGTGCCGGCAGCGGAGCTTGAGCTGCTACGCAGTGGGCAGCGATCTACCTACCTGGAGCGCCGGTACGAGCACAGCCCCGACGACAAATACAACTATCCGGAGGCTACCAGCTGGCGATACGGCTGGTTCCATTTGCAGTCCAATCCTTGCCAGAAAAGACAACCAAGAAGGGACTAATTCGAAGATTGTCTTATGTCGTAAACAGTTTCAGAAACAGTACTTGAATTATTCTTATAACTTTGGGTAGATCGTAAAATAAATAGTGTTAAAAAAGGCAGTGAAAATAATTAAATATACAAAGGCAGAAAATTCATTTCAGCATCTGCTCCTGTTGTGCATCATCTCATTTCGGGTGTTTTTTAATGCGAAATGTGCAGCACATGCCAGGGGCTTTAACTGACAGACCCGACTTTCTGACAGCAGATCCTGACTGCTGAAATTTTCTTTCTCAGTTGTTTAGAAATACTCGTAGGCAGGACAGACAGGCAGTGCAGAGGGCGCTCTCTGTGGCTCTGTAGTTTTTAAAGTTTTCCCCAAAGTTGCCTCTTGATCCGGTTGACTGGTTCCGATTGCCCCCAAAAAACAGCCACGACAAATTGCATAAGCCACTCACTCAGAGGAACATCTTCCTGCTCCTTCTGTAGACGTCTTGCTTCTTCATATGCTGCACCATGGGGCATCGTATGCGTATGCATATGCCTGTTGTGCCGTCTGTCTGTCTGGCATTTAAAGTGCCGCAAAGTTGAGCAACTCTCGAGAAAGTCGTTGCGGTTCTCAGTCGTTTGATTGACTCATGAAAGTCCACAACTTTTTAATTGTTCTGCAACATTTCCTCAAATAATATATACTTTTTTCCAGACCGAGTATCCTGTCTTTAAGTCGTTGCTGCTTTATTTCATTGGCACAGGGTTTGTCGCCGGACTGCTGGCTCGCTGAAACTTATTAACTTCATTCCATTGCGATGCAGTTTGAATCTGCTTGGGTTTGAGCTCTGTTCTGTCCCCTGTTCCATGATTGTCTGCAATTCATGGCAGATTTCGAATTTTATTGTTGCATTCCAAGCACTTTGAGCTGGGCAAACTTTTTGCCAGGACCCTCACCGTCGCCCTCGCCCAGAAGTTTCTTGTCCATCTTCATCCTCATCTTCATCTCCATCTCCTCCGAACTGGCACTGCCACTCCACTTCAGTCTGCTCCACTCGTTGGCTGGTCTCCGCCTGATTGCAAACAACAATTCTCACTTGGCCCCCAGCACCATCCTCCCAGGGGTCTGAAGTTTATTATTATTTGGCTTGTTTCGCATTTTTCGTGGTTTTATTTACCTTTAAATACAGTTTCGCTGCACCGGGTATGAGTACGAGTATTCTTTTCTCTCGTTTTGGCCCTTATTTATTTTCGATTTGATTGTTGGATGAAAGTTTTCCTATATTTATTTAGTTTTAACAGACACATCGAACCTACAGCCGAATAGATCCCAGACCCGCACATATGTACAAGTATGTATGCCCTCGTTTGATTATAGAAGGAATGCCCAACGAGTTGTCCCAATCAGAGCAAATGTAGGAATATCCAGGGTATCCAGAGTGGAACAGCTACTATTCAAACCGATATTTTCTTCACTTGCTACATTTCGAATGGTATTTAACCCTTTTCAGTGGTACGATGGGAATCTGTGCTCCTTTTACCATCTTTGTTGCCGTATCTTCCCAGCAATTAGTTCTCTAAAATTTGATGTGAATTTATGGCCCAGTGGCTTGGCAGAAATATGAAAATGTTTGAGGTTTATTTTCATTACTCTCCCTTTGCCCACAATACGATGGTGGAAATGTTCTATAAAACTACGAGTTACTTGTTCCCAGTTGAGGCCAAACTCCTGATGGTTGCATCACCACAAAAGTACGGTGCTTGTGGAGATTGATTGTGAATCACTGGCATTTTTGGAGGCCAGTTCAGGGAATGCCCCATGGCCCAACGGAATTCTCCTCAACGGATTGTAATGAACAATCCAATGATTCAATTATAAGCAGTCAGTGTGGGGTTTAGTTAAAGTCCATTAATTAAACAACGGCTATTTTGTGTGCAACATTAGTTTTAATTGTTAAAATGGAGTCAACCATTTGATGGACAATTCATCTCAGATACAGGGGAGTACACGTTTTGGGTTTTATACTAACTTTTATTGCAAAAAACTTTTACAAATTCTCATAAACAAATTCATTCAAGCACACACATTATTGTTTAGAATTATCACGTGGTTTCAAAATTCAATTTATTTCCAATATCTTTCCTCTTGCTCAGGCCTTTCAGCTTGATTCATTCGTATGGATAGAAATAAAATGTACTAAATAGTAAATTAACATTTCGCTTAATGATCACAATCGCTTCGCTAATATGGTTTTCGGCCAAGTGAAGTGCCGCATCGTTCATTCATCGTCATCATTTTTAGGTGATGAATGCAGATACGTAACATACATACATATATTATCGGTTAATTTATAAAACTAAGATGTTTAGGATAGTTAAGATATTTCAGGTGTGGGGAGGAAGGTATTCATATATTTGTGCCTTACTCAGAGAGTGGATGTTTTACTACAGCCACGCGTTAAGTAGTCGTGGAGCACATGCTCCTATTTCTGTCTAGCATCTAGCGTTTCTTTGATTTTCGTATTGGTTTAGGAGTTCTCTCGGTTTCTCGATTTGTTTTGCGGTTATATTATAGTAACAATCAATCTAGTTGTAATAAGAACATGCTGGACACATAAGCAAACAAATTGTCCTCCTCCGTCTCGTGCCTCCTGCACTTTCTAATTACTTCGGCTTGAGAGTTGTCTTATCCGATCCTATTTTCGATGACTCGATGGTCGGTCAGAGTACCTTCTTTGAGGCATTTGCAGAGGATAGGGGCTGAGGCGATGCGCTTGCCGCGGCCGTGGCCTTTTTTGTTACAGGTGGCGTTGTTGGTGGTGGTGTAGTCGGTATCGTGGGCGGAAGGGTAATGTCCTTTGGCAAGAGCTTTTCCACTTGACGCTCTGATGCCTCTCGGATCACGGCTTCTGTGGTGACGTTGCCGGCACTCGCGGAAATGCCACCTCCTAGGCCTCCGCTACCTCCACCGGACGACTTGGGTGGACCGGCATCTTTCGAGTCTTTCTGAGGTGCGCCTCGTGTGGGATTCGTTTTGTTATCCTCTGGTGGTACTGGCGGCTTCGGCGTCACGTCGCTTAGATCCTTGGCACAGTCCTTCAACGTCTGAGCCGTGTCTTGGAATGGGGCCTGTGGGTCAGGAGAGAATGATCACAATTTTAGAAGTTCACAATGAGATTGGGATGGAGATGAGATGCTTACTTCTGATTTTAACTTTTTGGCTATGTCCATGGCACCCAAATCGCTTGCAATATCCTTGATCTCCTTGGCGGAATCGTGAAGCCCGTCTACCAGATTGGCCAATTCCTTATCCTTTTTGTCCACCTCAGACTTGAGCTTCTCCGCATCCTTCAAGCTCCTGGCAATGGCCCTTTCAATCTTCTCCTCCGCATGCAGGATTTGCTCCTTGTCCAGCAGACAAATGAGTTCATCGATGGCCTTCTCACTCAGCTTGATGTTGTCACGACCGATGGACTCCATCACCTGTCGATATGGAAGATATAGAATAGGTTAAAACGAGATCTTCACAAGGGGTCCCATCCAAATTGCCTTGCGAATTTCGTTGACGGTAATGACGCCATCCTTGTCGGCATCAAACTTATCCAGAACTTGCTCAATATGCTTGAGGCGCGCATCGTCAGTGGTCTCCTTTATCTTTTTGATGTTCTGCATCAGATCGTCAATGTGAACGATTTCCTCGTTGCGTCGCTTGGTCGCCTGCTTGGTGAGCAGCTCGGTGAACTCCTCCAGCTGCTTCTTATCGATATTGGTGGCTTGGCTGTCGATGCTCTGGACCACTTTGGTGATTTCATTCACGGAAATCGCACCATCTTGGTCGGCATCCAGCTTGACGAGCAGCTCTTCCACTACCTTGAACCGCTCCTCGTCGGAGGCTTCCCTTGTGCGTTTGATGGTGGCGACCAGCTCATCAATGTGGACAGTAGGCTGCCGTTCTGGGGTGGGCTCGGCCTCCGAACAGTCAATGGCATTCGCCTGCTTGATCTGCTGCTGGCGATGCTCCAGATCATTCAGGACACCGTCTAGCTGGGATATCATCTTGTTGACACGGTTGTAGAGCAACTTGGCAGCTCGGCTCTCTCGGACCGGCTCCTTGACCACCTGGCGCACCTCCCGCAACTCCTCCACATCCTCCTTGTAGTCTCGCAGCTCCTCCTTCAGCTCCTTGATGGTCTCCTTCTCGACCACCAACTGCTTGTCGGAGGAGAGTGTGTTCAGTGCATCGGAGAGCATTTGGACGTCTGTCGAGGAGATGCTCTTGTCCGAATCGGAAGCGACGGGCACGGCTGCTTCCTTGTGCTCCAATACATGTGTGGCGTGGGTCAACTGCTCGGCAAACACATATGGAGCGGGTTGCTCATCCTTGATTGCTGTGCGCTTGGCAATAACCTCCTCATGTTCCTCCTCGCGCTCTTCTTGAATCCTGCGCTCCTCCTCCTTAATGATCTCAATCTTAGTCTTGTTGTCCACCTTGCCCTCGCTCTCGCCAATGGCATGACGGGTATGGGCACCCACCGCATCCGGCAGCACCCTCATCGTCTCCTTCAGCTTATCCGTGGCATTGCCCTCGTCGGAGATAACCATGGCGCGGGACAACAGCAGCAGCGTGGGTGGAACCTTTTCATTCAGCGACAGATCGACCCACTCCTGCAGCTGGGAGCGAAGACGTTCCTCGGTGAGGCCGTACGCCCTCATGCCGCGCGCCTTGCAGGCCTGCTGCAGCTCGATAAGATCTAGGGTGTCAACGCCCTCGCGGACTATCACCCGATCGTCGGTGGCCAAGTAGCGCAGCTTCAGGCGCAGCTGGAATCGCAGCAGATTACTAGTGCCGAGCGTATTTATCTCGAGGACACGACAGAGGGCCGCCAGCTGCTCCCGGGAGAGCGAGTCCAAAGTGATCTCATCGTCGAAGCGCTTGGCAAACTTGATAATATCTTCGTTGCTCACGTTCTCGCTTGGATGACGAATCTTGTTGAAGAACGCCTCAAAAGCCTTCGCCTCCTCGCTGCTGTGCTCCTTGTGCTGTACGGGCATTTGGTCCAAGGTCTGCTGCAGGAACTTTGCCACCTCCAGGCGCACGCCCAGAGACTGTCTCAGCTTGTCCTGCTGATCCTTGGTCGTTTGGAACGTGGACGGCAGCATTCCCGGAAAGAACTTGATGAAAAATGGCAGCAGCAACTCCATAAACGGGACTACTATAAACACCGAGAATGGAATCAATCGGAACAAATCCGATGTTGTTCTCTGCAGCTGCTTATTCTCACGTCTGCTGAGACTCTTGCCGTTGAGGACGCGCCAAAGCAGCTTTGAGCAGATGGCCACATCAATGAAGAGCAGGCGAAAGCCATGGTAATAGTGGACTAGCTCCTCCCATATGCGCACTCCCAGCGACTTCTTTGGTTTGGCCACCGACTTGTCCGCTGCTTGGGTCAACGAGGTCGACGACGATCCAGCTGCGTCGGCGGTCGTCGCGTTCTGGCTTATATCCGCCCCGGCCGTGGCGGTAGCTGCAGCTGCTGCAGTCTTCGCCGAGGCCTGGCCATTGGCCACCTCTTTCATAATCTCATCCACCTTCTCCTTCTGCTGGTTCTTCAGCTTCTTAACAGTTACGTCAATCTTCGAGGTAGACGACTCGAGCAGGGATCGGCTGGAGTGCAGATGTCGAAACCCATGGCCCGAATGGTAAAAGCCGTACTTAAATACTGACTGATGCTGGAAAACATTTCGCGAGTGCACCAATTTGCGCAGTGGGCCGCCGGTGTCCGATGGGGCCGAGGTCGGGGTGGATCTCCTCTGAGTGTGTTCGCATTCTCTTCCCGTTGCCGCATTAGTGTGGTCAGTGGTGCAACAGGCACAACAGCTCGTTCTGAGATCTGCAAATGTCGAAAATTATGGTAAGTAAAATATAATGGATGATTTAAGCAAAGTTGTCACAAAGGAATCTCCCAGAGCAATGAAACGAAAAAACGTTCGTCCCAACATTACGAATCACGTTTCTTCACCTTTTCCAAAGTCCCCCAAAGCGAAAAATAAATATATAACGGAACAAAACAGTTCAATAATCTCGAACAGCCGGCAAATTGTGCAAGCGAGATAGCAAACAAAGAAGGAAAGGAAAAATACAAAACAGATTATTAATCACGACGAGCAAAAATAGGAAAAAGTTTGCAGCTGATAAGTAGGGTTTCTCTAGTGGCTTGTGCATTGGGCCCAGACAGAACGAGTTGATATGAGCAACACGAGCAGCGAAGCGAAAAGCAACACTTAAAATTAACACCTGGAGCTTATGTAAAGCAGATTCTCGGAGACCAAATCGAGCGAAACGAAACCCCAGAGAGAACTGGGAAACTCTCTTTCGCTATAAATAAACAATGTGGCAAACATTGAGAAATGTGCGAAAAGTGCACTTTTCTACTATTCACTTTTCCTTTTCTCATTTCACTTCTTACATTTGGCAATCGATCAAGGTGAATGTTAGTTTGAAAAAAGAGCGGGAGCAGTGCTAGGGGAACACACAAAAACCAAGCGTATTATGAAACATGAAAATGCTGATGCGACTGTACACATTGTTTGCGGCGTCGCATTGTCTGTATTTCTACCTGTCTCTGGCACCTGTTCCTGACCCTGAACCTGTCCTCATACCCATTTCAGGTCCGCCAAATCCCTAGAAAACTAAATTTTCTTCGTAAAAGAGTTTTAAATATTAGTCAGCTGATAGCCGAAATCTCGCTAAACCTGAAGATAAGCTTGATTTAAAAGATGGCGCGATTGAAGGCGAAACAAATAATTTCGAGACTTTTCAAATGTTTGTCGATGGCGCGCAAGAGGGAAATTTATAACTAGATAAGGAACTTTTAGTGCCCACGAATCAGCTGGTCCCGAAACTGCAGTCAAAACAAACACATTCACAGGCGACACACACAATGCTACCCAACACACATGCACACAGTACCGGGGTCGGCCTTTCGCGTAATAAAATCAATGGAAAGTTTTTGCGCTTTGAGCCATATCGTGATTATCGGAACTTACAGCGTGTGTAGAAATTCTGAAGGTGGTAATTCGTTTTCAGAGTCCTTCCATCGAGGCGCAGTAGGGCATTCATGTTAATGCTTTTAGCCTGTTAGGCGATGCGGGGCGGTGCTCTGCTGCCAATCCGAGTCCAAATAATTTTTCAATTTTAATTTTGAATTTTCAACAGCTCTGTTGATCGTTTCTTTGTATTTTTTGTCGTCAGTTTCTGTGTTGATTTAGTTCTTAAAGCTGCTTCTGATGATATCTTTTCCTGCGGCAAAATTGACTGCGTTTCCTACGACTAAAAGTAAAAAAATTAAATTAGCTTAGCTGTCTATAGGCTGAGGTGAGAATTTATCAAATCTCTACACATTTTGCCACACATATTCAAACTTTTTTGATGGAAAAAGAAAATGTGCTAACAAGTTGATCTTTAGACACACGCACTCCTCGCACATATAGCAGCGTCGACGTCATCGACGGAATATCGCGCGACGTTTGTTTTTGTTGCTTTTTCTCAACATTACACAACCTACAGCAACAATTGCGTGTTCGATTCTTGAGTGAGTGTGCCAAGTTGGTCACGTCCACATAACACATTACTTTACTTGCAGAGTTGTGCTTCAACGTAAACACAGATTTATTTTACCCTTTATGAAAATAAAATTACACCTTTAATTGTTTTTGTCAGTGTGACCGCGGATTTATCTATACCGTCCGACACTCAGAAATATACCAATGTAGCGTCTCATTTTAAAAATATACCGTAAATATACTGACGACTTCAAGTTCTAATTTACTTATTCCTCAATTTTGATATTCCGTTGAATATTACTAGATAGATAAAAAATATAGCCATGCCCACATATTTTTATACGATTGACGAACCTATTTTCTATTTGACTGGTTTATGCTATATACTTGCTTTTATTGCATTTTGACTACAACAACGTTTAAACAAAAAAACAGTCGCAATGTTGCTGGTATTTGAAGACATGATGCGTGTATAGGCCTTTGTATACCCTACTTCGTTAATTTAATATTAATATCCTGTTTAACTACATGTTTTACTGTTCTTAAAACGTAATTAATAAAGGCCTTTTCTCAAATTTATTCGCTTTAGAGATATTCATGCTTATGATCAGTGTCTTGTATATATATCCCGATCCCATTACGTATTCTTGGTCTCTGAAGCTGCAAAATATCGTTGAAATAGGTCTAAAACAGAGGCTGAATGGTTTTTGCATTAATTGGAGCCTAGGATGACAAACATATTCTCAGTCCCATAATATCCTTTTCCCTAGGATATGCCGACATCCTGCAAAATCGAATTAAATGTTATCCATCGATTTTCTTCGTTACTATCGACAATTAGACGGTACATTTGAATAGCATTCCGCCGCTTTAACAATATTCTTTCGTTTAATGCGGATTTAATAGCGATAAAAAACCACACATACCACGTGCACAAAAAAAATAAATGAATCTCCTAAATCATTCAGATTTTAATTGCATGCCCACGCAGTATTTGATTTGTCATTAGGGCGTAAAAAAAAAACTGACACATTCCGGCTGTCGATAGTTGATAACAATCTGCCGTTGAATTGCAAATGGTTGAAGCCAAGGATTTCCAAGTTCTCATTTCATTCAATTGCACAACGTTGAAGAGTAAGCTTTAGAATGTGGCGACGGTTATTTTTTAAACTCGTAATTGCAATCAATTTGGTTGGTGCGCAGAGTGGGGTCTTGAGTAACATCATGAAATCTCTAAAGATGGAGCTGCCATTTCGGTCAATTCTCCTACTGCGAAATGTGAAGGATGCAGATACCTGCTGGTCCCGAGAAGACTTTGACCGAAACATCCCCATCTTAAACATGAATGCGAGCCATTCCCTTTATCTGACGAAGATATTCAACTCGGAGCTTCTGGCCGTGGTTTGCGAAAACCGCAGTGAAGGCGACACCATAAAGGCTCTTTATAGAAATCTACAGGACATTCGCTATACTCCAACCATTCTAGTGACACAATCGAACACAAACCTAAGTGATTTGTTCGAGGATTGCCGCTCCCACAAGATGCTCAATGTGTTGGCTTTGAAGGACTCTGATAATAAATTTGTCTACAGCTATCGGGCCTTTCCTCATCTGCAGGTGGTGAAGCGCAGAGTGGGCCACATTCGTCGCTACTTTGAGCCCCAACTCAGGAACATGGAAGGATACCAGATCAAGGTTCTACCTGACAATGTCATGCCTCGAACGGTCGTCTATCGAGATGCCCGGGGACGTCGTCAGATGACGGGCTATCTTGCGCACTTAATAAGGAACTTTGTCAGCACATTAAACGCCACTATGCACATCTGTTGGGAAAATGTGCCTGAGGAAGAGACCCCCAACCCGACGACTGTGAATAAAATGTTACAAGACGAAACTGTGGACTTTCCTCTAGTCCTTACCACTTCTAACGAATATAGCGAATTCTCAGACCACTTGGTGATGGAGATCTCCAGTTGGTTTCTTATGCTGCCCGTGGAGGCAAACACTCAACGGGCTCGTCTATTCTACAGGATTAAAGTCTACAAGATGATGCCCATGGTAATACTTTTGGCTCTGGTGCTCAGTAATGCTCAGCGAGTGGAAGCAGGTTTGGGACCCAGAGTAAGTTTTGGTATAGTTTGGGACTATGTCATACGTGGATGCTTGGCGCAACCTTTTGTGCTGCCCCATGGTCCCTCCTTGCGGGTGATGTATATTTATGGGCTTCTGCTTTTATACAGCATGCTCATGTGCAACATTGTCAATGTCAGCTTAGAAACGTGGCTGGTGCATCCACCTGTTGATCGTCGAATTCTCAGTTTCCAGGACATGCAAATGAAGCAACTGAAAATTCTAATTTATAAGCCCGAATTTTCCGTCATGAAGAAGGCTCTGAGGGAAAGAAATCTGGAGCAGAAATGGGATATCTTCGAGCTTACCAACTCCTCGAAAGCTTTCCAAGTGAATCGCATCTCCTTGAATCCGGCTTATGCATATCCTGTAACCACCACCCTATGGCCAATTCTAGAGCTAGGACAGGCCAAGCTCCCACGGCCCATTTTTCGCCGGTCTCAAGAGATAGTGTTTAATCCCCGTATGTTCTTCGCTCTGCCCGTTCCGAAGGACTCAATCTATCGCCAGACCTTTACTAAATTCCTTTTGCACACCCGCGATAGTGGACTATACGTATTTTGGTTCAAGCGGACATTCAATGAGCTCGTTGTGTTGGGTAAGATGAGCTACCACATGGATAACAGCACCCAGCCTTATCAGGATATTGTGTGGGAGGACTTTTTCTTCATCTGGCTGGCGTATATTGGAGGCATTTTTGCCAGTCTGTTGGTATTCCTTGTCGAAGTTTTGTACTTCAAATGGAAACACGGAGGGCGCAACGGAATATTTTTAAACACGGACTAACTTTGCGAAATTTCATAAGCTTAAATTAATAAACAATGAATAAATATTTCTTGGAACACTTACTTTAAGAGGCTGTTTTCGAGTTTCGAGCTGACGACCCTAAAAGTAAATGCATATAATCTTTAGATTTGAATCGGCGAGATCTCACCACTTAGCATACACAGGGCTTCTTTCATATGCAAGCGTGACTTCCTGTTTCTTGCGTACTTTACACGAGTTCAACTTATAGACTTCAGCAAGTACCGATACGTGTAACTTTGATCGTAAAACTAATTGATCGTCTAGAGCTGTCACACTCTATTCACATCGTACCATACAGAACATTGCCACCCGCTTAAATCTTTCGAGACACAACAGGAGACCACTGGATGAAAGCCCCTCTCAATAGCTTGCAACTTCCACAAAATATGAATGGATTGAAGTTTTTAATTGCCGGCCATTGGCAATGTTGATTTGTCATAGAGGTGTTGAAAAACGTGACACCGTCCGGCTCTCGTAAGTTGATAACAATCTGCTGTTGAATTGCGAATGGTTGAAGCCAAGGATTTCCAAGTTCTCATTTCATTCAATTGCACAACGTCGAAGAGTAAGCTTTAGAATGTGGCGACGGTTATTTTCTAAACTCGTAATTGCAATCAGTTTGGTTGGTGCGCAGAGTGGGGTCTTGAGTAACATCATGAAATCTCTAAAGATGGAGCTGCCATTTCGGTCAATTCTCCTACTGCGAAATGTGAAGGATGCAGATACCTGCTGGACCCGAGAGGACTTTGACCGAAACATCCCAATCTTAAACATGAATGCGAGCCATTCCCTTTATCTGACGAAGATATTCAACTCGGAGCTTCTGGCCGTGGTTTGCGAAAACCGCAGTGAAGGCGACACCATAAAGGCTCTTTATAGAAATCTACAGGACATTCGCTATACTCCAACCATTCTAGTGACTCAATCGAACACAAACCTAAGTGATTTGTTCGAGGATTGCCGCTCCCACAAGATGCTCAATGTGTTGGCTTTGAAGGACTCTGATAATAAATTTGTCTACAGCTATCGGGCCTTTCCTCATCTGCAGGTGGTGAAGCGCCGAGTGGGCCACATTCGACACTACTTTGAGCCCCAACTCAGGAACATGGAAGGATACCAGATCAAGGTTCTACCTGACAATGTCATGCCTCGAACGGTCGTCTATCGAGATGCCCGGGGACGTCGTCAGATGACGGGCTATCTTGCGCACTTAATACGGATATTTGTCAGCACATTAAACGCCACTCTCGACATCTGCTGGAAGTATGTACCTGAGGAAGAAAGCATTAGTAAAATGACTATGGATAACCTGTCACAAGACGGAATTGTGGACTTTCCTCTAGTCATTGCCAGTCCCGACGAATATCCTAACTCAGATAACATTGTGATGGAGATCTCCAGTTGGTTTCTTATACTGCCCATGGAAGCAAACACTCCGCGGGCTCGTCTTTTCTACAGGATTAAATTATACAGGCACATTCCCATAGTTATACTACTGTCTCTGGTGCTCAGTAATGCTCAGCGAGTGGAAGCAGGTTTGGGTCCTAGCGTCAGTTTAGGCATCATTTGGGACTATGTCATACGCGGATTCCTGGCCCAACCCTTTGTGCTGCCCCATGGACTCTCCCCGAGGCTGATGTTTATTTATGGGCTTCTGTTTTTGAACACCATGCTCATTGTCAACCTTTTAAATGTCAATCTTGAATCGCTGCTTGTGCATCCACCTGTCGATAGTCAGATTCTCAGTTTCCAGGACATGCGATTGCAGAATTTAAAAATTCTTGTTATTCCGGCTGATTTTAACTTCATCAAGAAAAATGTTGGTGAAGAAAATTTTCAGAAAATATTGGATATCTTTGAAATCAGCAACTCCACGAAAGTTTTCCAAGTGAATCGCATCTCCTTGAATCCGGCTTATGCATATCCTGTAACCCTTACACTATGGCCACTTCTTCAGCTCTCACAGGCCAGGTTACCGCGAGCCATCTTTCGCAGGTCTCGGGAAATACAGTTTTCCCCGGTTATCATCCTAGCCCTGCCCCTTCCAAAGAACTCAATTTATCGCCAGGCATTTACCAATTTTGTAGGCCATTCCCGCGAAAGTGGACTATATATGTACTGGTTCAGGCAGTCCTTCAATGAGCTCATTTTCCTAGACAAGATTAACTACATTATTGACAATAGCACCCAGCCCTATCAAGATCTTGTGTGGCAGGACTTTTTCTTCATCTGGCTGGCGTATATTGGAGGCATTTTTGGCAGTCTGCTGGTATTCCTTGTCGAAGTTTTGTACTTCAAGTGTATGCAAGGAGGACGTCACGAATAAATATTTATAGAATATGTATCCTTGAAATGTAATAAACGGCTTAAGACGTTGTTTTTGGGGTAATTTTGTTAAAGACAATGAAAATTTGTATACTTGCAAGTCATGGAAAACAATTGACGACCGATAACGTTGCTTATTCGCTGTCCGATGGAGATTCCAATCTGCTATTGAGGAGATAAGTGTCGAACGATTGTAACCAGAAACTAGCGTGAAGTCATATATGGATTCATTCATTCCAGGTCAAACATTTCAAGTAGGAACATTAAGATGTCGCTTCCGACAATATTCTGTTTTATAGTTTCACTCAGTTTTGCTGAGGCACAGCGAGGGGCGTTGGTGAACACTTTGAAGGCTCTCCAGGTTGAGGTCTCCTTTCAGTCAGTGCTCCTGGTGCAGAACAAGGATGACACCGATACCTGCTGGACCACGGGGGATCTGGACATTGGTATTCCCATCCTAAACTTAGATGCGAGGCAAAATTTTAACCTGAAAAAAAGTTTTAACACGAATATGCTGGCCCTGGCTTGCTTGGGAGAGGGTATTATGAGCGCTTTGTATGCAAATCTTGAGGAGATCCGCGAAACTCCGACCCTCCTTGTGGTGGCACAGGACACAAATTTCAGCGCTCTATTCGCAGAGTGTCGTTCGTACCACATGCTCAATGTCGTGGCTGTGTGGGGCGGCCGCGATCGTGAGTTTATCTACAGCTATCGGGCCTTTCCGCACTTGGAAGTGGTCAGGCGTCGTCTGAGGGACATCCGCCGGTACTTTGAGCCGCAGGTAAGAGATCTCGCGGGTCACCCCATCGGCGTCATACCGTACAGCGTCTTGCCACGCACTTTGATCTTTCGAGATGCACATGGAGATCGTCAGATAACTGGCTACCTCGTTCAGTTCTACAGAAACTTCGCCAGGAGCTTAAACACCACTCTGAGGTATCTATGGCACCTTATGCCGCTGGACGAGATGCCTGTTCAAGATGTAGTACTGGCCACAGTAAATGAAAGTCATGTAGATTTCCCACTCGTCCTTTCCAACCTCGACCCCGAGCCGTTCCTTGCCAGCAGTGTGTTGGAGGTTTCCAACTGGTTTCTCATCCTCCCCGTGGAGCCAAATGTGCCGCGCTCCAGTCTCTACTTTAGCCTCAGGGGATGGCCCTCCTTTCTAGCCCTAATGCTTCTTCTGGCCCTGCTGCTTGGCAATGCCCATCATCTGGACTCGGGAATGTCGCTCGCATTGAGCTTCGGACACATCTTCGGCGACCACGTGCTGAGGGCCATCCTAGCCCAGTCGTTTGTGTGGCCGCGGCGGCTCTCCTTCAGTCGCACACTCCTCTACATCCTGCTGATGGTGGCAGGCCTCATCATCAGCACCTTCTACAGCGCCAATCTGTCGACCCTGCTAGTCGAACCGCCAGCAGCCTATCGGATACGCAGCTTCGAGGACCTGCGCACAAACCGCGTCAAGATACTTCTCTCTGAACAAGAGGTGCCCCTAATGAACGCCACCAATAACAAGAATCTGCACGAGTACAAGGACACCTTTGAGATAATTCCGTCGACGGTTGAGTTTTTGGCCAAGCGGAGTGCGTTAAACAACTCCTATGCCTATCCCGTGACCAGCACCCTGTGGCCGTTTCTCCAGATAAAGCAGTCCCACCTGCAGCGTCCGATCTTTCGCCGATCGCAAGAGATATTCTTCCTGGAGTTTATGCCACTCACCGCTCCCATGCAAAAGAATTCTATCTATCGCAAGTTGTTCAACCAATATGTGGCCAACACCCACGCCAGCGGACTGTACGAGCTATGGTTCAGGCAGTCCTTCAACAAGCTCGTTCGAATGGGAAAGCTGAACTACAGTGAGGAGGCAGATCACGAGACCTATCACGATCTCATATGGGAGGACTATATCTACATATGGCTCGTTTATATCGGAGGAACTGTCACCAGTTTGCTGGTGTTTATGCTGGAGCTAATATTCTTTGTGTTAAAACCAAACAAACCGAAAATACTAGTCTCTTTATAAACTTTTAATGGCCCTCCAAAGGATGGACTAAACACCTGTTTTTCCATGTATTATGAGGCCTTATGTAAAAATAAAACTACAGCCGAATGTTGCAATTTCAAACACTTTTTGCAAAAGCATTTTTATTCAAGTTTCACATATCTCTGCTCACTGCATCTTGACTTTCATCATTAAATGTTTTTCCTTTTTCCTTTACTTTTACTTTTACTTGTCTTATTTTCGTTTTTGTTTTTATGTTTTTACGTTTTTGTTAATAAGTAGGTATTTTTAATATGTTATAATTAGGATTTTTGTTTTAATGGAATTACATGTATAATATATGCATATATCATATGCCTCCAGTGTCTGTCTGTATTATCCTTGCTTCTTGTGGTGTGGTTTTGTCTGCTGTGTTGTGGTGAAGTGTGGTATGGTGTGGCGTGGGTTTCGCTATTCCTTTAAACTGGGTCTTCGGTGCCCCAAAGCAACGGAAGAAGAATGAACAAATATTGGATTCTTATGCGAAAGAAGTTAAATGCAGGTGCAGCTATGTCTCATTTAGCAAAACGTGCAAAGTGAGTAATTTTGAATGCATTTAATTGTATTATGAGTGAAGCGCTCGCGCTGAATATTTATTTGATTCTTGTTTTCGTGTTTTTAATCATTAATTTGGTAAGATTAGAGTCAACCCAACCTTGTTTCGTACTGTCTAAAAACGTAGAACTATAAAAGGGTTCTCTCTTTTTTGGGGGCTTTTCTTTTTTTTCTCTTGTTTATTTTTTCGTTTAAGGTAAATTCTGCAAAAGCAATTACCAAAAAATTAGGGCTTCAATTACAATTATAATTTGTAATAATTAATGATAAAAATGTCGCATTTGCTTGGCAAAGGAAAATAAATGTTTACTTTTTGTTTTTGTTTTTGTTTTGTACATTTGCATAAATATTATTCAATTGCATAATTTTATTTTTCTTATCTTTTGTTTTCTTGTTGTATGTGTGTATTTGTGTGTGTGTTTGTAAATTCATATTGCATTCAAGTGCCTGTGTGACTGAGTTGGTGTGGGTGTTGGTGTGGCTGAGGGGGTGTATGTGTATGTTTAAATCCTAATACTACCATTTTCCTGAAAACTATAGCCAAATTCATTGCCGCTCCGATTGTCATATTCCCTTGGGAATATGCTCTCTCTTGATCGAAGATACCATTCGTATAACTTAGGATCGGATCGAACAGAAATCAAATGAGGAATAAATATGGTTAAATGAGGGTTATAATAACTATATGTTGTATGCCATGCCATCCTAAATATTTGCCATCATTTATAACTATGTATTTTCATGTAATTTCATTTTTCATATTCCCTCTTTCATTTTCTTGTCTTGTCTTGTCCATTTCGGGTACTGTACTGTTTTAACTATACATTGTGTGTGTGTGTCTGTACGTACGAGTATTTCTAGGCGTAAAATTTTAATTTTACAAATTTCGTGTGAGTTTTGCTCGGTTTTGGTTTTAATAGTTTTTCTCTTTTCTTTTCTTTTGCTTTCCCATTTTTAGTTTTCTGTTCTTGGAAACTTGTTTAAAAATTAAGCTCAATAATCTTAAATTATGTATGTATTTGCTTTCTTTTCGGGCTAATTTGTATACACGCCTTTTCTCAAACTATTTCCTTATTAGTGTCCCATTTCGTGCCTTGTATCCATTGTAATAATATTCTAAAAAAGTTTAAATATTGCATTGTGTACACCCCTGGTTTTGGTTATATTCAATTCGATTTAGTTTCTTTTCTTTCTGCCTTTACTGTGTTTCATATTAGTTTTTTGTTTTTTCTTTGTTTGTTTTTTACTACTGGAAACAATTTACACTTAGTTACAACACTGTCTTGTAATTGCTAAAATTTTAATACTCATGAACTCTCCACAAGAGATGGATGCATATTTTCCCGTGTACATTATTCGGTTCGGTTCGGTTCTCTTCTCTTCTGATTAATTCTTTCTTTGCTTTTCTTTTCTTTTCGTTTTTGCTTTTACCATGTAAATTACGTGTAGGTTGCTTGCACTTGATTTCTTCGTCAAAGGATTAGCATTAGATTGGAGTGGGTTTGAGTATTATAAACGCCTTTTAACTACGGCGTGTAATGGGGTTTACATTATTAGTATATATATGTCTAAATGTATATACGTAGAGTGAGTGGATCAATTGTTAATAGAGGTTACATCAATTATATATATATATTATTTTTTTTTGCTTTTTCTTGGTTTTTTTGTTTTTTGTTTTCTTTTATTTAATATATATTTATGTGTATGTGTAAATATTCAAATTATGCCCGGATCTTCTCGGGGCGTAGCTCTAGATGCCATCGCTTCATACTTTTCTACTTAAATATGCCATAGGGGGTTTAGGGTTTAGGGTCGATGTGTGGGGTGGGGGGTGTGTGGTGTAGCGTGGTGTGGTGTATGTAAATACATTCAAGAAATTGTTGTGTACGCAGTGTGTTATTTAGACCCGAAGCTGACTCCGAGAAGCTTCACTTCTGCTCGCTAAGTTCAACAGTAAAGACAAACATCTAATTCCAAAAAAACGCTAATGAATGTTAAGAAACTGTTAGGTAATGCCTAGGTCTAATGCCTAGAAATCTGCTCCTCTGAATGAGAGAGTTCGAGCACGAATTCTTGGTTTAGCTTTTGTTTCTGATCTTGTGTCTCTAAAAATTTCAACTGTGTTGCAAAACCTTTTGCCTACGTCTAAATGTCAATGTGCCGGATCCTTTCCTTTCCCTTCATTTTTTTTCCTTCTTCTTTCCTGCTGCCTGGATGTACGTTTTGCTGCACAATATAATTTCTCGTAAATATCTATATATGTAGGTATATATGTGTGTATATTGTATGTTTGTGGGTTCCAAGTAAACTCCTGCTGTAAAATCTGCTGCCTTGTCGCCAATAACTCAGGATCTAATAGTAGAATATTTGACCGGCCTTCTGGCGCTTACGCTCCTCTAGCTTGCGATTGATCTCCTGCTGTCGCTCGGCCTTGCTAAGGGCTCGGGCCACGTACAAGAACTTGTTGTCGCCCAGCTGTTTGCCATGTAGTCCAATGACGGCGGCCAGCGCCGATTGTGGGTTCTCAAAAGCCACAAATCCGAACCGGCGTGAGCGTCCCTCCTCGTCGAGCATCAACTGCAATGATTACAAACGAAAATATCCTGTTATCATCTATTCGAAATCGATAGTAAACAAATCAAGCTGTCGATAGGGGCTCCCGCTCGCGCACATTAAGACGACTGCAATCCACACTTTCTTGGGGTTATCCGGCCGGGCCGGCCCTCCCCTCTATTGTCGACGTATTCCCACGACCCGCGAGCAGTGGGCATGCGCGCGGCAAAGGGAAGAGCGAATTTAAGAGCAGATAGTGGGAAACTGTGCCACATGGTTTTCCATCTGCAGTTCACTCTCTCTGCCGCCCTCCCTCTTGGCAATCGGCTTTCGCCAATCCACCCACACGGACATTACCCACGCCATGCGAACAGGCTGGACGGACGGACGGGAAGTGTAAGGTTGTAAGTAGACAATCAAGACATAACGAACCTTGTGACTGGTGATGCGCCCATAGGGCTCGAACATCTCGCGCAAGTGCTGCTCGGTGAACTCCTCGCTGAGATTCTTCACGTACAGATTCTTGAAGTGGGTCGCCTTCTCCTGTTCACGGTCCCGCCGAGGAATGAACTTGACCACATGAACCTTCTGATTATTGCACAGCATTCCATTGACCTTCTCGATGGCAGCGCGGGCGGCTTCCTCCGAGTCGAAGTGCACAAAGCCGTAGCCGCGTGAGTTGCCATCCTCGTCCTTGGCCACATTGCAGTTGAGAATGTTACCGAACACGGAGAAGGTGTCGTACACCGCCTTGTTGTCGATCGACCGCTCCAAATTCTTGATGTAGATCTTGCCGCTGTCCGGAGAGCTGGTACTGCTCCCAGTGCTGCCGCTGGCCAACGCGCCGGCGGAGTGCGACGAGCTGGTGGTGTGCCCGCTGGTCACCGAACTATGCCCGTGCCGGCCGAGAACGGCCGCAGCGGCCAAATGATTGCTGGCCGCGTGTCCACCGCCGACATGGCCCAGGTGGCCGGCGGCAGCGTGATGGTGCAACTGCTGCTGATGATGTGCAGCGGCCAGCGTATGATGGTTCAGCGCCGGCTGCTGCTGGTGATAGTTTGCCGGGTTGCCACGGAACGTCATCGAGTTGACGAACATGATGGCTGGCTGTTTGTGGAGCGTGGTGGCAGCTAATAAAGTGCAGGTGCTGTAAGGTGGTGTGTGGTGGCTGTGGCTGAGAATTTTGACGGTCTTCGGCAGCGCGTTGTGGTATTGTGTTGACTTTGCTCTTGTTCTTGTTCTTGCGCTTGCCCCTGCCCCTTGCCTCTTGCCTGTTCCGTGTTTGTTTTTGGTGCTGCTCGTTTTCTGATTGGTACTCGTTTCGTATCTCTGTGTTCGCACTCGGCCCTCGGATGCGTTATGCTCTGCTTTGAATTTATTTTCGATTTTAATTGGAAATGCAAATACAAAAATATCAATTGCAGGCTGAAAATCCACTCACCAGGTTCTTAGCTCACACGTTGCCCGTTCCACTGCAATACAAATTCTCTGAAAAAATCGTTTTTCTCTCGCCCAGACTCTTTTTCACCGTTCTCTCTCTCTCTCTTTCTATAAATTTTCTGGGCTTTCACTTTTGGCTGTCGCTGTCGCTGTGGGCTTGGGCTTATCTTATGCGTACACGCTGCAAACGAATGGATGCGACTTATTCTATGTTTCAGCAATAGCAATATAAAAGGATTCTCTAGCGTCGGCCTCTATTCTTTATTATTTAATTTTGTATTGTATGCAAAAACTTGTCGCTCCTTGCGTGCATGGTATAACTACAACAGGTAAGGCCCCGCTCTTCGGTGGCCTAAGTTGCTGACCCCTCTCTTTACGATAAATGTGTACCAGCTCAGCCATTTTAGCCTTACAAAAATATCATTTTTGAGTTCAGCTTGTTTTAGCCTTAAATGCATATTGCATCTTTTCTGAATCGAACCCATTTTTTTTAATGATCTTTGCTCGTAATTAATCGTGTAATTTTAATTGTACTATAATTCGTATATGTATTGATTCCCTTTGCATAACATTTAGCCTAGTTATTTTGGGCTATAGCCATTTTAGACATTTTTTTAACATTCTGGCAGCACTGCACGATATTCTCACAAATGCGGAGCTGCTCACAAGAGCGTAAATTCTCATCAGTTATCGATACACACAGGCGCAAAATACAGCCACACTTAAATTTGCATAAACAAATCTGAATTTATTATTATTTATTAAGTTTATTATGGACCTGGAACACATGCTAGCGAATCCTCTGGCAAGCGATTGCAGCCCATCAGTGCAATCCCAGCGTCTTCGTAGAAGAGATAAACGTAAGCTCGACGATGACAATGCTGCCACCGATCATCAGCCCCCAGAAAACACTTGTATAGCCGCAGAATTGGCTAATATCTACCAAGCAGATCGGCAGCACAGCCTGCTTGCGCTTCAAATACCTACGCAAAACCGATCGGTTGTGTCAAGCAGCGAGTTCATATCCATGCACGATCTGCTGCTAAGTCAGTCTGATTACGGCACCCCGGAAGAGAAGCAAGAAGCCAGAGTGCACATAACCGAGCTGATTTTACGAGACTTTTGCTCATCCCCCACATACGAAGAGGAGGAGAATATACCGATCTACGACTCACCTCCGTGGTTTCGCTTTCGAAAGAAAACAATCAAAACCTACAGCCGCAAGCCACCAACTAGGAAACAGCAAACAGTTGCTGCCGAAGAAGACGAAGAGGATCGATTGAGCTGCTCCTCCGGGCTCTCGGTACAAGAGGATCACACAGCCGTAGCCCAAGTGCCGGCGACGACGGCATTGTGTGAATTAGATGCCAATAGCTCACAAAAGATTTGTGAAAATCTTTTCAATTTAAGCGAATATTTTTCCGTAAGTAATACTGGTCTGAACCCCAACAATGCCTCCAAGTCTGCTAGCGCCCAAAAAGCCCTTAGCATCGACTTACCCATCAAACAAGAGACACCTATTCATCGCAAGAATTTGGACTCGAATTCATCTGTGGAGTGCACATCTGTAGAATTTGAAAATCTGGAGGAGGACCTTCTGAAGCACGGCTACACTTACGAAGCTTCTGAAGTCTGTGATATAAAAGCACCCCCAGGTAAAGGACACAATTAATAAAATATTTCTGCCATTTACCAATTGTATTACCAGGAAACGAAACGACCACTCTTTTTGGCGAGAGTGAGAGTATTCGTAGGACATCCCCAACAAACGGCCATTCTGAAATGGGTAAGACAACATCTCTCTCCATTTACGAGCGATTTGATCTATCAGTTTCTTTACAGATGCCAAAGCTTGTGTGGACTGGTCAGAAGGTGATTCGTTTCTGGCGAATTATAACACCGAAAAGATGTCATTGAGTAATGATGAACCTATAAAATCGGATAAATCTGATGTAAAACCCACCAAACGGTTGGCAAACCCCCAACAGAGCACCTACTTTACATTGGAAGACATCCCAATGAGTGAGTGGCAAACCATAATGGAGGTTCCCGATGTATCAAGTATCAAAACGGAAGCTTCGGACAATCAAACTGTCAAATTAGAGGAAATGGACAAAATTGAAGCAAAGTTCCTCGAGGAAATTCCCGATTGGAAGCCGGAAGGCATTGCGTTGCGTACTGCCTCAAAAAAACCCATTGAGGTGTCTGAGGAGAATGCGAAGAAAGCAGCCAAGCTGCTGTCTGATATCCAGGCTGCAAGTGATACTCAGTTCCTTCAAGAAATTACTTTAAGGCAATGGCCAGGCATGGATGTCCCAGAAGCCATCTCAGAGGTTGTCGGCTTCCGAACAGCGTCAAACAAACCAATTGAGATTTCTGAGGAGATGAAAAAGAGAGGAGCCATGCTGCTGGCTGACGTCGAAGGTGGAGAAACGGATCCACCAAAACATACACGTGAAATCGGAGATAAGGAATGCTTCTCCGAGGATATGGGAATTGCTGTTGGATTCCGAACAGCCTCAAACAAACCGATTGAGGTGTCTGAAGAGACGAAAAAGAGAGGAGCTAAGGTGCTGGCTGATGTCGACGTTGAGACTCAGTTTCTTCAAGACATTACTTTAAGCCAATGGCCAGGCATGGATGTCCCAGAAGCCATCTCAGAGGTTGTCGGCTTCCGAACAGCGTCAAACAAACCAATTGAGATTTCTGAGGAGATGAAAAAGAGAGGAGCCATGCTGCTGGCTGATGTCGAAGGCGGAGAAACGGATCCACCAAAACATACACGTGAAATCCGAGATAAGGAATGCTTCTCCGAGGATGTGGGAATAGCTGTTGGATTCCGAACAGCCTCAAACAAACCGATTGAGGTGTCTGAAGAGACTAAAAAGAGAGAATCCAAGCTGCTGGCTGATGTCGACGTTGATACTCAGTTCCTTCAAGACATTACTTTAAGCCAATGGCCAGGCATGGATGTCCCAGAAGACATCTCAGAGGTTGTCGGCTTCCGAACAGCGTCAAACAAACCAATTGAGATTTCTGAGGAGATGAAAAAGAGAGGAGCCATGCTGCTGGCTGACGTCGAAGGTGGAGAAACGGATCCACCAAAACATACACGTGAAATCGGAGATAAGGAATGCTTCTCCGAGGATATGGGAATAGCTCTTGGATTCCGAACAGCATCAAACAAACCAATTGAAGTGTCTGAGGAGAATACAAAGAAGGCAGCCAAGCTGATGGCTAATATCCAGGTTGCAAGTGATACTCAGTTTCTTCAAGAAATTACTTTAAGCCAATGGCCAGGCATGGATGTCCCAGAAGCCATCTCAGAGGTTGTCGGCTTCCGAACAGCGTCAAACAAACCAATTGTAATTTCTGAGGAGATGAAAAAGAGAGGAGCCATGCTGCTGGCTGATGTTGAAGGCGGAGAAACGGATCCACCAAAACATACACGTGAAATCCGAGATAAGGAATGCTTCTCCGAGGATATGGGAATTGCTGTTGGATTCCGAACAGCCTCAAACAAACCGATTGAGGTGTCTGAAGAGACGAAAAAGAGAGGAGCCAGGCTGCTGGCTGATGTCGACGTTGATACTCAGTTTCTTCAAGACATTACTTTAAGCCAATGGCCAGGCATGGATGTCCCAGAAGACATCTCAGAGGTTGTCGGCTTCCGAACAGCGTCAAACAAACCAATTGAGATTTCTGAGGAGATGAAAAAGAGAGGAGCCATGCTTCTAGCTAACGTCCATGCGACAGAACAGCTAAATTATCCGAGTGACGCACAGTACCGGAAAGAAATGGACCTAACTGAATTGGATATTCCAGAGATAGTTAGGTTCAGAACAGCCACGAGTAAGCCGATCGAAGTTGCGCAGCCGATGATAATGAAAGCTGCCGAATTGATGGCCGATGTCGAGGCCGAATCAACAAATGAGCCAAGTCTGAAGAGTCCTAAGACATTTGCCTCAAGCGAAGCCACGGAGGTAATGGATGCATTAACTGGAGATGTACTTCCATTAAATTGTGAACCTGAATGCCTGCCGGAGATGTCCGATTATCTTTCCGGTGATGATTTCAAGGGTTTCCCATCGGGCAAATGCCAGCCAATGGACTTATTTGGTCTCCTTGTATTTCCCAGACTATCAGAGACAGTAGAGTATTCATCTGAGAAAGCTCCCGCAAATGATTCCAGATCTGGGACACCTAAGCAACGACGCGAGACTTCCGACGGAATCCCCTCGAGCAAGCGTCGACGTCGAAACGCAGAGCCCCAACTTTCATCCTCCCTACAGCAAACACCGCAGAACGGTACACAGCTCTCCAAAACAACGTCGTGGCACAGTGCATTGGGATCCCCAATGAACTCGCAGAGTATCCCCGCCTCTTTGTCGCAACTGGCAGAGCGTTCGCCCCTCGACCGCATCACAAAGACGTCCGTGATTGGACGCCGGAATCTGTTGTCGCTTAGCAAGCGACGCAAGCGAGTCAGCACCGTTGGTGAATGCCAGGTCCAGGACACTGTCACTCCGGTTAAGCCCCGCTTTGCCCCGATGTCTGCTTCGACCAGCACGCCGCTGTCTAACAGGAATATAAACCTGGTTGAGGAATACCGCGGTGGAGAGGACGTCTCTCCCATTTGCATGCGCCCTCAGAAAGCTCCCCGCATTGGCTTGAGTCGCAGTCGATATTAGCAATCTTTGTTTTTAGATTTCTACTTAGTCGCAATCATACGCTGCCGGTTGGCTTTTTTTGCGCTACATACATAACATATGTACATCCAGATATCCAGAACTTCCTAATGTATATATATTCAAATTTATAACATATAACTACCTATAAGCGAGTTAGCACAAAGATAGAAGATAACAATCGTAGAGTGTAATTAAAAAACAATACTCATAAATGCGGAGTCATGTGAGGCATGAAGTACATTGTATAGATTAGTTCCGAAACAAAATTAAGTTGGGCCAAAACACTGGACAATTATTTAATTCGAAGCATAATACCAATTAAGGCCTACCAATTAATACCCAATTAAGGCAATAGCGCTGCTTGACCAATTCCCACACAAAGACTAGCATTGAGAACGCCAGGCCCAAGGCCCACAGGAAAAAGGCAAAGAAATAAAACTCCATGTTATAGGCCTTGGCGGAGGGGTCCTCATCCCGCATTAAAGAGTACATTCCATTCTCAATCAGCTGCGTCCAGGTGTCCGACTTCATCTTGGCCAGAATGCCATACTCCTGGATTCTTCTCGTGTACTCGTTAAACATTCTCAGATAGGGCAAACTGTTTGGTACTACATGGGATTCTAGGGCAAAGCCAATGCTCTGTGTTATCACCTTGCAGCGAGGGGTCTTCAGTAGGTACTGTTGCCGGAGGACCAGCTCCAGGCGGTCCTCATAAAGACAATACATAAAGCGGGTATCAAGGCCATCGCGCAACTTTCTTAGCATAGAACCGTTCATGGAAATACTGTTCCTGCGGACAGCCTCGGGCAGAAACGATTTCATGACGAACGATCTTAAATAGTAATCATCGTGTAGAGTGGAATAGGGCGCCTTTGCTAGGCTCTCCAGTGTGTTGTACTGCGGCTCGTATAGTCCGGAGGTTAGCATGCTCGAGAGCATGGCCAGATAAACGTTGGTTAAAGTGAATCCACCTAGCGTTAGTATTATATACACCAGTAAGTCCTGCCACCCTGAGATCCTTGTCTCGTAGTTCGAGATGTAGAGAAAATGACTCAGGCTGCGCAGAAAGCACACTCCGATTTGGGGTCGTCGCCGCTGCCCCCGTTCACGTCCCGAGCGTACCAAGAAGAGCATGATCGTAACATAAAATACTGTGGCCACCAGGATCAACCAGAGGGTCCAACCGAAGGGCTTGGCAAAGTACATGTAGCTGGCGATGGGTGGGGCATGGGGCACCACAAAATATTCGTTCAGAATCGAAAGCGGGAGCGAGGACTTCACATCCCATTGGAGGTCTTTCGGATAACTTACGAAGTCGATCTCTTTTGAATACAGCATTTGAAAAACGGACTCGTATCTATTAATCACCTCCACACCTGGTATCGGCACATCAGCAAGTGTTGCATTGCAACGATCCGCGAACTCCTTGAGTGCGCTGTACATGTACCCCGACCGCAACTGTTGATTCTTTTGGTCGACATACTTAAAGTCCCGTGGTGCCAAATCAGTGCAAACTGTACGTATGGTAAAGCCGAGAAAATTGCATGTTTGCCGCTCCCTTATGAAATATTCTGAGAGATTGGAGAGTTCAACAACCTGGATCGAGGGATATGGCAGATAGGTGTAGAGCGAGCTTTGATGAATTAGGATGACATGGAGAAAGCCTTTTTGATAGCAGTAGCTGAAGAGTTCCTGCTGCCATGACGTGGGATCCTCTCGGCTCACGAACACGATTTGAAGCTCATGAAGCTCATCCAGCAGTTGCGGCAGGAGCTCGGCCGCCGAAGGATCCAGTAGGGATTCCCCTAGATAGACTACCACCAGAGCTCTCTCGGTAAAGTTACCAGTCAGTCGATAGCTGGATGCATTGGCCTTCACTGCAAGTTGAATCCGTGGCGTGTCCAATGTGTGAAGAGTGCTTGATTCCCCCCCGTATTCCTGAAAGTTGATAAAAACGTTTAGCTCCGTCCCAAGTGCATGATTGAGTTCAAGGAGCACTTCTGTGGGACCCGATATACTATAAAGAGCACCCAAAATTCGAAAAAGTACCGACACAACCAGCAGCGGGAACATTTTGATGAGACTTTTGAAGGGGCTATGCCTTTTATAGGCTTTTATATGAATGTTTTAATAGCCACATGATTCAACAAAATCCTGTTGGAGCATTCAAATATTAATCCTGCTCTTGTCAGCTATTATCCACGATTCAAGCTCTCTGGCAGAAAGACAACGTAACCAATTAACCATTTCCCGAATAAAGGGCCATATAATTACACACCTAATTATTCACTTTAAATTACATGCATTTGCCATTAAGAACAATTTTATACTCGATTCTCGAAGAGTTAAGGGATATTTTAGTTTTGTGTAGATGCCTGTAACAAACAATTATTTTATGCAGTGGCAACGCAACGCCTTCCACGCGCCTTACTCATTCCAGAGAGAAAAACACACTGAGTATCGGGTATAAATGTAGAGCCGCAGACCTAGCCACGTTCGCGCTCGTTCAAGTGTGTCTCGTGCCATTTTATTGTTTGATTTTAGTTTAATCGTTTTCTCGCGGGTGTATTTTCTAGAGCGCCACATGAATGCTATGTCCCTTCTCGCCCTTGCGCCGCCTGGGCTATTACCACCGAAAATCCCTGATCAGATCATTATTATAGTGAGAATAAACCAATAAGATCTTGAAAAGATATAAGGAATATAAAGAATTCTTTATTTATCATATCAATCCCAATTTGGCGGAACATTTTGACCTCTCTTTGAATCGGTTAAGGCTGAACGGGAAGGCAACAATGAGTCTCATTCCATTCCTTAAAATTTGGTACTTTAATTACTGTGAAACCCGGGAAATGTACGTGATGTTCATATTCAGGAGGAGGAGCAAATTCAGAAAGCTATTCGGCGTACCATTCAGGCTGAGCCACTTTAATAGCCAAAAGCTGGAGACATTCGGACCGTCGCTTAGGACATTCTGTTGCGGCCGTTTCCTGCCATCATAGCATTCAGAGGTACTGCCATGTTGGTTAGTTTAACGGATTCCAGGAACTAGTATTAAAATTGGTATTGATAAGTTCCTTTTAATAATAATAATATCCATATAAAATTATTTTTTCATCTGATTGGGCTGGGATCCACAGGTTTCCCAATGTTTGTCAACATTGTCGTGACAACATTGCGACTATTTTTATGTTGATATTTTTTGTTTAAACCTCGTTTTGGACACAATACAATAAATTAGACTACTTAAAAGTGATTAATCTTATAAAAAATGTATTCAACAATGGGATAAAACTATGTGGGCAGGGCTGTCGGTTTTATTTAGTCAGAATTATTCGACAGAATATCAAAATTGAGCAATTGGAACAATTACTCTCTTACCTTTTTGTTTGTTTGACCCTTTTCGCTAAAACCTTTTTCTAGACAAAATCCAATAAAAGCCAGTATTTGAAATAAGCCACTCAAATAGAAAATAGGTTCATTAATTGCGTACAATTATGTGGGCATGGCTGAGGGTTCTATCTAGCTAGTAATATTCGACGGAATATCAAAAACGAGGAATACGTATATTAGAACATTAATTTGTCAGTATATTTACGGTATATTTTTAAAATGAGACGGTATATTTTGGTGTTGGTTTTGGTGTATTTCTGGTCCATTAATCTGCATTCCAGCTATGAAAATAAATAAAGTGTAAATAGAGTCCTCGGCTCGGGTGCAGGTAAAATATTCATAGCATTACATAAACTAAATTATGTTTGTGGCACAACCAAAAAGTGAAATCGATGGAACTCCATCAAACAGGTGCGCTGGCACTTGTTTACGGCGCTGCATGTATCCCCATTGGAAGATGGAGGTGGACAAAAACACTAACCATACAGTATACTGTATGGTTAGTGACAAAAACAACGCAACTGCATTTTATGGGAAAGTTGTGTTTACTTTTTATAAAGTGTTTAGAGTCAGCAGGAAGTTCAAGACCAAATGAGAATGAGAACTTATTACTGATAAGCTTTGCTCTTGTTGTGTTCTTGTGATAATTAAAAGTTGTCGTTCATTCTTATTATGCGATTATATTTTACTTTGAAGCTGATTCCATTGCACGCATACATACATACATTATACACAATACAGTCCATATACATGTGCATGTGTGTGTGGTGTGTGCATTAAAGCGAATATTATTGGTGTAGAATTTTTTATACTCTCGACCACAATCTTTCGTAAAGTTGCAATACGTTCGGAAGAAATTGCATGTTAATTTGATATCAAATCAAAGAGCTGTTCCTGGACTACGATGAGATCTCTTTTTCCTAGTAATTTGAATTCTCTGTCACTGAACCCTTTGAGGCTGTTATTCATTCTGCGACATTGATTCAATCGAAATTTCATTAAAATTCAAATTTATCAAATAGTCTCCGCTACAGTCCACAAACGTAAATTTGTGTACGCCCCCACATTCGTAAATTCTCGTAGTGCCATATAAAATCGTAGTCGCGTGAAGAGTAACGCTTCGTTCGTCGTCCATAGCCACTCGATTACGTTCTGGCAAATAAATTAGTCGCAACTGAGTAAGTTCTGTTTTAAACAATTCTCTGTATTTCTGTATTCGAGCTATTGTCATCTGTGTGCGGCGCTATTGAAAAGACACGTCAGTCGGCCTGGCAATAACTCTACAAAAACTGCAGCTGACGCGCATCTTTTCCATTCTTTCTTCGGATATTTTCAGTGCAATTCCAGCTTAAGTTCGACTTGTAGTTTCCGCAATAAGCCAGTACCAATCCGTCTATCATGTCTGACGATTTCGATGGCTGCGAGTGCGTTTGGTCGCACGAATTCGCTATGCAGCGTCTTATAAACTTTGTAAGTTGACTTTCTCCCACACCGGGCTCCCATTTTGATATGATCCTTTGTGGTAGATTCGTCAAAACCAGAACACATGCACAGACACCGAGTGCATCGATGGTGAGTAGCTCCGTCATAGCAATTCCACAAGCGGCCTCTGACCTTCTCATTCTTCTCAATTGCAGTAAGCGGACGATTGCAGCGGACTGGATCGGATAACGATGATGGCAACGGCTTCTTCGTGGGTATGGTCTTCATGTTACTGGCCATGTTCCTGGTCGTTGTGAATCCGAGTACCTGGAGCCGTCTTGGTCTGAGGAGCAACACCAAGAACACTCGTCGCGACAACAACCAGGATGGGGCACCTCCCCCACCGCAGCCGCCGCCACCGGCTATCAACTAGAAGCCGGGACGCTGCTGAACACCTAAGCAATTTGCATTTTTTTGGTTTTATCATTACGAGCAGTTAGACAAATAACACAACACACAAACCACACAAGATTCAAGAACAGGCGTCTCCCCAGAGAGGGAGATCCATGCAAACGTAACATCCCTTCGATTGTTTGGCCCAGTTTGGGATTCATGAGATCAGACAAAGATTAGATCAATTAAATAACACACACACGAATTTTCTGTACCAGTGAAACACCGCAGACGCGCACAGAGACACAAACATACACCCCCACAGAAATACGCAAATTCTGAAACGAAATTACATTGACTCGTGTATTGGAAAACAAAATTGTTAAATACTTAAATACTAGGGGCATTTAAATATGAACAATTTTTTGGGATGCATGCATTAATCCTCGTTTTGCAGTTTCACCATCTTCTCCCGCACGTTCTTCAGCAGGTCCTTCATTTGCTCGTACTTGCCCGTCGAGTCTGGCAGATTATCAAAGTGGATGACATCGCTCACGCCCACCCTGAAGTTACTGTCGACTGGCAGCTGGTTGAACTCCGAGAACTTGAGGATGGGCGTCCCCTCGAAGGTAGCCTTGAACTGCCGTGAGGCCAAGTCTCTTGTCCCGCTCGGCGTCGTGGGCGCCGACTGTGTTTGCGTCAATGTTGTCTGAGATATAGATTCGTCCGCTGTTATACTGCTTGTGTCCAACGAGGTGTTGCTCTCCAACTGCAACAGCAGTTTCTCCTGCTGCGCCTTCAAGTCTTCTATTGATGGTGATTGCGAGCGTGCTTCCTTTTTCTCTTGCAGCGGCGGTGGGGGTGGAGGTAGACTTATGCTGTTGGGCTCAGAGGCTGGTAGTGGAGGATGGCCTGATTCCTCTGCTTCCTCCACATCCATGTCATACTCGACGAAGTTGGTTTTCTCGGTCGTAGTAGGACTCGAGTCATGCGGAGCTGGCAGGTCCAACAGTTTCTTGCGTCTGTAGCCTTTGCTTATATTCTCCCCCAGGGATTTAATAAAGTTTTCCTTTAGCTGGCTCTTCTGGAAGGGCGGCACATTGTGATGTTGAAAGTCCTTTAAGGGTGGTTACTGGTTAGATTTAACATTTTAATTAATTTGATTATATTTACATCGAAGAATCTGCCACCGGGTTCCACATTGAATCCCGGGAATTCCACAATTTTGTTAAGGTCATATTTAAAGGTATTCGCTACCCCTTCTTCGTCATCTGATTTCGACACCTCTGTACCCTAGGGAAATAGCATTAATGTTTAATCTCTTCGGCTGGCATAAGAAGTACTCACATCTGCATTGAAGATCGAAATGCCGGAGCTCTGCATCTTGGCATCCTCGAGCCAGGCGGGCGGGTATCCCAGAACGCGCAGCCGATAGAACATGAAAGGTAACTCGTTGCGATTGTAGCCCATTGCATGGCGGGTCTTAGTGCTGATTTTCCCGGGTCGAAGGTGTCCAAACCTCTGTTCAATGTCCACATGGTAGCGTTCCATGCGATAGCTGATCTTCTTGCGGGCCCGTTGAATTCTCACATTGTTGCGTGGCTGTGGGCACTCTCGCAGCGAATGGCCCGTTTCGCCGCAGTTAAAGCAGGCCGACTGGTTTTTGGGTCGGATACACTTGTTTACCGCCTCGGCCTTCAGTTTCTTTCGTGCTTCAGTGTCTTCGTCGAGTACATCTGTATTCGAGCGCTTGTAAGAAGGTACCTGCGAGACCATCAGCTTCGGAGCAGGCGATGTGTCGATCATAAAGACATTTGAAGTGTCCAGATCCGGAGATGAAGGCGATTGCGGTTGCATAACGCCTCCGTCGAAAGCGCCTATTACCAGCTCCTCTACGTTTGTCCTGTAATCTAGGTGACGGCCCACAAAACCTGCTCCCAATACATCCAACATTTTGTGGTGAAGACTGGCAAAGTGCTCCTTGTTGCAAAACTTTACTTCGAACACCAAGCCATCCGCCTCGTTTTGGTTGTTCTCCTGGAAGGAAATGGGTTTATAATTTACTATAACACTCAGAATATACGCACAAATATATACCTGAGTTCGTAGACTCGGATTGTCATCTGTTGTTGGTAACTTATCGGTGGAGGGTCTTGTGTCCGCCGCGGCCACAACCACAATTTCTGAGTCGTCCAACTCGCCATCTTCCACGTCTACTTCTATGATTTCCCCGCTGGGCTGCGTATCGTCGAGCACTATAACAGAGTCGTCCATTTCTTTTAACCTGTTAATTTTATTTTTGTTTGGAATTTGTATTATTTTCAGTGTGATACCGTCCGACCCTCAGAAATATACCGAAATATACCATCTAATTTAAAAAATATACCGTAAATATACTAACGAATTAAAGTTATATTTTTCATATTCCTCGTTTTTGATCTTCCGTAGAATATTCTCAGCTATATAAAATATTTAGCCATTCCCACATAGTTTAATACGATTCATGAATCATTTTTCTACTTGAGTGGGCTATTTTAAATAATTGCTTTTATTGGATGTCCATATAACGTTAAAAATTAAATTTAATAGATTGATGAAATTGAAAAAATATACAATTATGTACCGATATACCGTAAATATACCGTCGGTTCAATTTTGACCTCAAAAAATACCGAAAAGTATTAAAAATACCGTAAACGGTCACCCTGGTGGGATGGCCGATGAACCAAAATATACCGTCTCAGTTTTAAAATATGCCGTAAATATACCGATGAAAAACCCAACTTAACCCACTTAAGCCCCCTGTATTTAAACAGGTGTGCACTTTGAGCGCCAATCTAGTGGAATAAATAATACATTTTAATAAAAACTGCCTATGGAAGTTCCGTATGTTGTTTAATATACCTTTATTCATATTGCCTCATTCATCCAAAGTGTTGAGAAGCGGAAAAATTCAGAATCTTGATTTTTACATGTAGTTGAATAGTTCCATGTTTAAAAATTAATCCAATAATTAATCATGGTTGTTTCAGGATACACACATTTTCGAATGTTTAAGGAACGCCTTTGTAGTCCCCGAGCAACAAAACACAAACAAATTTGAGCTTGGTGGTTCCGTTAATATATATATTTACATATGTACATATGTGCTGTATCCCACAAATGTACCCATTTATAATTTTCGGCACAATAAAAATATCACCTTTAAAATTCGCTTTATTGCGCCTAGCACTATGTACAAAAAGAAGAAAACAATATAACAATTATTAAGATGAATATTATACATAAAACAAAATTGCTTAAAAAACTATTACAAGACGACTCGGTATGCCATAGAGGAATGATTGGAAAGTCTCAATGACTAAATGTTACGTGTTACGAGTATAAATCTTAATCGAATCGTCCCGAACTAAAACAACAAAGAATACAATTGACAGCCAATGCGTTTGCATACATTAGATACCATATAGGCTCCCGCCGAAATAGTCACAAACAGTGTCAGCCAGCCCAGAAATGTGAATTCCCCCACGCGAGGACGTATGTGCTGCTGCAGTCCGAGCCATCCGCCATTGTCTATCAGCCAGTACACCAGATCGTCCTCAATTATCTCGGCCAGGCCATCCACAAGGCATTGCAAGTAGTCGTAGTGGCCCTGGCGCACACAGTCGATGGCAAAGCCGCCACAGACCGAAAATATTGAGATGATCTTGCCCCAGGTAATGCTCGACCGGAAGAGATCCTTGGCCACCAAATTGAGCAGCATGGGGGCCATATCACCGTCCTCTAGCTCACCAAACGGAGCTCTCGATAACTGCCTGGATATGTTTGTGTAGACACGCGGGTGCATTCGCTCCAGTTCCTCGCCCATCTGTGGATAGATGAACCAATTTTTGGTTGATTTACGCAGAGAATTCGTGGGCTTGCTAGTACTCACGCTATTGAGGGCAGGAAACACTTCGTAGACCACATGGGAAGAGGGTTCCAGTATGTTTCGCAGTCTTTGTGTCACCTTCCGATTGAGGACGCCGGCGCGTCGTAGCCGCGCTCTGATATACTGACCACAGAGACACTTGCCCTGAAACATTTGAGAGCAAATGCCAAAAGTTCAATTAAAATCAAATCAATTGTCTTGCTTTGATCATTGCCCCATCCGCCGGGCTTACGATCAACTGGATGCGTAAACATTTCCAGCTAACATAAATCTTGTTGAATCAATTCTTTCGGCGCCGCCAATCATTTCTACATTTGTACAATTTACAGCGAAATATTCGCTTGCAACTGATGGTTTCTTATGGTTTTCGTATCTTATTGCCCCTTGGCCGAGGGACACCTGTTCAATTTCATTCACACCTCTTCCAGAGTCAGTCAACTGCAGCCAATTTGCGGCGGAATACAGAGCAGTTCAGAGGTGATAATAAACAATGATAAACATGATAAACAAAAGAAAAGAAACGAAACGATCAGCACGTGCACTGGGAAGAGAGTGCCGCAGAGGGCGGCTAAATTGAAGCAATCTACGAGATGCAATAATCTCTTACAGCAACGGATACCAACGGATAACGGGTGCACTCGCACCCTCTCCTATGGTTCTACAATGTATTCTGTGTTCCACACTCTATAATTCCAATCAATTTAGTAATGCACAATGTCACGGTGATCGCTATTGTCGGCAGCTCGGGTTTCTCGCTCGATTTCTGTCGCACAATTACCATTTGTCACGCCAACGGCTTATGGCAAGCCAACGATTCAGCAATTGATTTCTTTGGCGCCAACTTGACTTGTGACATGACCAGCCAAAGAGAGCTCGCACAAATGCCGAATGCCTGACCTTGTGGCGCTTGACAAGTCCATTGAGAGGCAACCGTTCTCAACGGCCCAGCCTGCCAGCCTCCTAACAGTTTAATCACCCACTCACCTACCACGCTAATAAATCCATCATCTTGTTTATGGCGCTTCACCTGTGCGTGCAACCATCAGCAGCAACCATCTGATTTGGCCCCGGCCAAACACCAAACACCAAATAACATACAATTCGGATGACTTCAGTTGGGTTCGATGAATTCCCATTGGTGTGGGCTTTCGGGTGATATGTTATGTACTCCGAGTTTATTTTTGGAATACTTGTTTAATGCTTTGTGAGGGAGCATCTGTGCTGTTGGGAAATCCAAACTGTTTACAATAATCTGCGGGCCTTCTGGTCCCATTTGTGGTGTCGACAAGGAAACCTATAACTAGAACTAGGTACTAGGAACTTCCCTGATATGCTATCCATCAACTGCATTTCTTGATGGGGCGCCTAGGCATTCCGGGTAAACTTCCGCTGCATCCAAATGAAAGGCAAACAAATAAATATTTTACATTTCAGTGCACCTCACGGAGGTTGAGTAAATGTTTTAGAATACCTTTGCCTGCATTAGATCATATTTTATCAGTCGGAGATAAAACTATTTACGAGTACGTTATCAATTAAACCAAGACAGCGGCGACCTACTCGTATACGGCCACTACCATTGGGCGCTCCACAGCAAATCCCCGAATTAGGTAATTTGGCAAACATTTTGGCAATGCAAATATGACCCGCTGTTTGTAGATCTGTTGTCTCCACTGCTCGTAAATTAATTTCAAAATATCTTCAGACATCCACGAAGTACGGCAATTTGTTTGAACAGCTTTTGACTCGACTTGGTTAGAGTTTTTCAGCTTTCCAGTTTTTGTTTTCGATGATGCTCACCTGATTAATAATTTCCATTTTGTACTCCTGATAGTTGGTCATGGTGCGTGTGCTGCTGGCTAGTGATGATGTGGATGCGGCCCGGGTCATCGAGGAGAGGCCTGGTCCGAGTCCGAGACCGTGCCCGCCCCCGGCATGAAGAGATCGTCCGTTGGAAGGGCTGCTGCGCAGTGCCTTCCAGTCACTGGCCGCCGTGGCAATCGTGCCGCGTCGATTCGCCGAGTAGATCTCCAGGTCCAGGGATGAGGACTTGAACTTGGCCAGCTTCGGGGCGGTTGGACTGGTAGTGGGGGCCATGGTCGATGGCATCTAGTGCTCGCGGGCGATGCTTGGCTGCCTCTCGACAATGCACTGCCACTTTGGTGGACTAGACTTTGGGCTATTGTTGCAGCTGAGGCTGCTTCTGATGCTGATGCTGCTGCTATGCCACTCTATGCCTTCCCTTCTGTCGCTGCTTCTCCTTCATGTAAGTTGTGTAATTTTGAAATTGTAGATTTTACGAGTAGACGTCTCGTCTGTCGCCTTGCATGCAGCCCCCAAGCTCAACTCAGCTCAGCTCTCGTTTTGCACTTTTTTGGAGGTGGTCGGGATCGAGCGCTCTGATAAAACGACGAAACAAAATAAAAGTCGGCAATAATGTGAAGCCCAAAGCGGAGAGCAGCAAACACGAATGAGACACGCAGAGGAAAACCACTTGTTGTTGGTGGGGTTCGATTTCGATCCCCATCATATACCGATGAATAAAACGAACTTAGCCCACTTAGCCCCCCTCTATTTAAACAGGTGAACAACTTGAGTTACACCGCCGAAAATAATACTATGTGTAAATTATTCTTATAAATCCATCCTATCCCTCCTCTTTATTTACAAAGAAACTACGATAACTTGCACCTGAACTACGTTAATATTATTCAAGCTTCATAATTTTCGTGGAGAGTATTTTAATACCCACTGGTCGCCAGTGGGTTAATCGTTCTCTGTGCATGATCGGCAATCATATTCCTCGATTTTGATAATTATATCCGGTTAATGAATTTTCTATAAGATTGGGTAATTTTAAATACTCCCTTTTATTGGATTGTTGATAAATCAAAGTTTAAGTTGAGCAAAAAGATAAAGTTTTTGTGATAACACATAAATAGCAATCATACTGAAAGCTAGAGAGCTGAGCATACAAAAATTATGCGTATCAAATGAAAATAGGGTAAAAACGCACAGCGGATTGTTTATTTTTATACCCGATACTCAAAATGAGTATTGGGGTATATTAGATTTGTGGTAAAAGTGGATGTGTGTAACGTCCAGAAGGAATCGTTTCCGACCCCATAAAGTATATATATTCTTGATCAGCATCAATAGCCGAGTCGATTGAGCCATGTCTGTCTGTCCGTCTGTCCGTCCCCTTCAGCGCCTAATGCTCAAAGACTATAAGAGCTAGAGCAACGATGTTTTGGATCCAGACTTCTGTGATATGTCACTGCTACAAAAATATTTCAAAACTTTGCCCCGCCCTTTTCCGCCCCCACAAAGGGCGAAAATCTGTGGCATCCACAATTTTCAAGATACCGTAAAACCA